AAATGGGTTAAAATTTGCCTTTTACTAAATATATTTTAGTGCCATACAAATAAAGTGTCATCCCCTTGATCAAATGTGCCGCCAATAACAAAACATGTTAAATACAGTATTTTAGCTAGAGGAATACAAGTTTTTGACACATTTTCAAAACAAGATTATCTGTTTTTTCTCTTCATAAAGACTCATCCAAAATCTGACTTTTTGTTTTTGGTGGAACTAAAAATACGATATGAAATATGGAATTCTGTACAAACAAGAAAAGAATCTCATAATGTTAATAATCTTCTGTTTGGTTCGCCCTCTCTGCTTGATCTTCTCCCGTTTGCATAATTTGACAGATTTATTACAAGAAGAGCCTAGTCCACAGTCTTGGTGCGCTCATGTTACAATAAAAGAGATGGAAACATGCAACGCCTTCAAAGAATGGTCAGCCTTTAGAATGAATGAATGAATGAATACTATAAACACCATTTCAATCTCAATCTTACGTGCAAGATATTCTACGTCTTCTGCTCTCCTTTTTCACATCCTGCCATTTGTTTCGGTCCTTGTGTTGCGCCCATGACTGCGTCAAACCTTTTCACTAACTAATTAAAACTCTCACCATCCATTGGGAGGTTTCTTTTCATTTAAATTAATGATCGCAGAAATGAGGGAAGGGCTCTACAAGACACAAAGTGAATGGGGGACAGGGAGATGGAAAAGAAGGAACAAAAAGAGGGAGAGCGTGAGAAAATGTATTCAATTGGCCAATAAGCAATGAAAATAACAAAATAAATACTTAAGAGAAAGCTAATAATGATAATAGATACAAAATGATCTATAAAAAAATCTATCTCTAATAAATTAGCTATAAAATAATAAAATAATACATTCATGATTATTATGATTATGATTATTATAAAGCATGATCCCAAACTGGAAGATGGATTTACTTAGTCACTCTTTGAATGGTGTAAGAGTACTTGGAGTACTTGGAGTAGTAAGAATTTGTTGCAAAAGCAAGAGGGCAGTGGAGACAGGGAGCTGGCTGGCAGGATGTTTGGACCTGAAAACAAGACAAAAAACAAAACTAAAGGGAAGTCTGACAAAAGTTCTCGAGGTGACACTGACTTGTGACATGGCAGAGAAGTAGAGTCTGAACCAGAGTTTTAAGGAGAGGGGGACGAGTGAATGTGATGCAGGAGTGAATGCCTCTCAGAAGCAGATGAGTGAGCCACACACCCTTTAGAATGGGAGGGGGAAAACGATGTATCTAAAAAAAACTCACACAGTTCTCCCATAATGCACTGGAGGGCGCTAGAGGCAAATTTCAATGTCATAGCACACATTGTTTTGTATTAGTAAGGATATTATTGGGTGTAGATTAGGCATTATTAGGGCTAAAGTTTACTGTTAAGAGCATTTTTGCTAACTTACAGCGGTTACCTTTTAGCTAATAGATTATAGTTATTAGCATTTGTACAAAACAAATAGAATGAGTACTCTTTTGGGGACATTATTTACACATTTTCTCAGGAACACACTGAGCTGTTTTGAAGCTTTGAGAGTGAAAAATTCGACCCTGTCACCGGGGCACGAAAGGTCAATGGAATGACATCCACTTTTTAAAACGTACTTTCAGATGTTCAACCTGTTCTGTTGTTGATGCCTGCTCCCTCTGAACTCTGTGAGCCCTGGCCTCACATATGGCCTCACATGTGATTGCCGTCCAACAGGGGTTGTACACAGAACTACTTCAAAGTTGAGCCTAACTTTCATGAGAACGTGCTTGTAAAAAAAAAAGAAACAGCCGTGTGCTAAATGTCGTGAACAAATCCGACCACAATTTTCTGTCTTCATCTTAATAGAAATGGTGTAATCGTTTGTGAATGTGTAAGAAAGAGCCCTGAGAGTCACTATTTGATATTTTAGGCTGAGAGCTGATTGGCTGAGTGAGGGCTGGTTCTCTGCTTTTCACTTTTCAGTCGGGAAAAGCTGATTTAACGGTGTGAAAAAGGCCAAAAAAAACCATGAATGAGAAATCTAGTGGTAGAAACAAATTGTTTTGAACGAGGAACTAGTCAGATGGATTCTATGACACAGTTCCATTGTTGTGGTTTGAGAGCTATAGGTATTTAAACCTGATCTTTCCCCGAGGAGCCTGTTCCAAAGCCTGTTTTACATTTATGTAATCGTCACTTTAAAGAGAGAGCACTATGACTATAAATAATGAAACATATTTTGTTATATTTGTTCTGATAGTTTGGATTTCAAGCAGTTTGAGCCAGATATAGGATCTGTTTCATGGTGTACTTTGATGTATTTTTCCTTAATGCACGCACAGAATACTGGAGATCTCAAAATCTATGAATGGAAATTGTCTTATGTATTGATTTTTCCACCAGCTTCATGTTTTTATACCAAGATAAGTCATGTGTTAATTACCATTCACAACCTGTAGAGCATATTCAACACCCACCACTATGATGATCACAGTCAATACATTGTCATAGCAACTACTCATCCTAACAACCGCCTCACGCCCACGAGCATCCAACAGCAACCGTTACCAGGCAACCCCCTTCCTCCCTCCCTACTCCCTCCGTTTCCTCTATTTAAGGCGGCGAGGAGGAGGAATGATAAATGATACTGAAAAGTAAAAAATACAACACAAATCCTCTCAAACGCACGACGGCAGAGCTGCCAAACGAGTCCCGGGCCGGGTCTGAGTCTTCTGGGCCCCGAATTTAAGGCGGATTGTTTACACACCCAGGCAGAGATTGGACACCATAGACGCCATATTGTCTATTTTAAAGTTGTTATGACAAGATAAACTACTCTTCAGACTTGATTGAGGCAAGGCAGGCAAGTTTAATCGTCTAGCACTGTTCATACACAAATAACTCACAGTGCAAGAAAAGAAACACAATCTTACAAGGTGTTAGAAAATAAAATCACAGTGCATAGAAAGAGTGAAGATACAATCCTTCAGTTGTATACACAACGAAACAGAACTGCTTTAACCGGAATTTGAACATTGTCAGAGTAGAAGCCTGTCTCACATTTTCAGGAAGACTATTCCACATTTTAGATGCATGAATCTGAAATGCTGCTTTGCCATATTCAGTCCTGACTAGAGTCTCTATCTCCCAGTTCCCAGAGCATGAATGCTTGGAGTCTTCGGTGGTAGTTGTGTAGTGAGGCTCATTCTTCCTGGCAAAACAGCTCTTGTAAATTCCAGTTCGAGTATCTCACGGCTCGGTACAGGTCCGTGGACCGGGGGTTGGGGACCACTGCAATAAAGGGCTGTTATAAATGTGGATACATTCAATGGTTTTTGTTATTGAGGGGTTTTTTTGAGAAACTTTTTTATTTGCATTTCATTAAAATAAAAACTTTAATTTACAGTTTTCTTCAATACGTTTTTTTGTCAATCCACCCATGCATTTTCTTCTGCTTTACCCGTTGCCGGGTCGCAGAAGCAGCCATCTGAGCAGAGACACCCAGACTTCCCCATCCACACACATCTACTCCAGCATTTGTACCCCATGTTTTTCTTTTACATATCTCACACACACACGCACACACACACACACACACACACACACACAAAATACTTACATTTCTGGAGAGATTGAGTGAAACAGACACTAAATATTTACTAAAAAGATAATGAAATTTAAATTGCACACAAAATCAGACAGATACTTTACTAATCATGTACAAAACATTGTTATTATTACATGTCAGTTCATATATAGTTATGCATAGAGAGCTTGGGGGAGGAATGGATATTGATTATATTTATTAGCCATAGTTGTGTGTGCTTTGGGCGATATAGGAATGCCTAAAATATTATATATTTAGTGAAACGGGTTTTGCTTGATATAGGCCATGCTTTCTGGTGCTTGTGAATGCATTCCTGCTCTCAACACGTAGGACTGTATAACTCCTTTGCTAAATAATGGACTTGTCAAAAGTGCAGGAAAAATCAGCCACGGGATATCCTGTCAACAGACCGCATTGTGTCCATTCATAGCAAGTACATGACTCTTAATGTTTTGTTTTGTAGAGTCTCATTTGACCAAAGGAATAGAAGTGTATGATCCTACAGGTTAATCACAGAGTTAACTTTAGCTTTATGTTTTATTCCCACAAGCCTGTTATGCAGAGGTCAGCTGGGCACTGCTGAGTAAAGGGGTGCGGCTTACACAAGGAGGAGACGTAGGCTGGAGTTTTTGACTTTTGCTGCTCTCATAACCACACACACTTCGAAACGGACTATTTGTGGATTGTATCTAAAACCGGACATTTTTGGTGTTTTTTTTATTTTTTATTATATTTTTCCGGTCTACTCCGATGGCCTTCCAAAGTAAAACGAAGGTGACGGAGTTTGACAGAATGTGATAATTGTTTTGTGGCGCTCAGGAGGCTACAAGTGCTATTTGCACCTGCTGTTGCCATCACAACCAGGTCTTTCCTGTCAGAGCTGTGTTGCAGCTTTGTTCGAAGTAAATTTTAGCCAAATTACTCTTCAAATGGCTCCAGTAACTCAGTGTGACAAGTAAAAAAATGTTGAAAGTATTCTAAAAAAAGAGATGCTACTTCAATGTGCAACAACTCCTGGAGTATATTGACAAAGATCACAGTCTGTATCTTTGAAGTAGTAGTTCTTTATACATATTTTTATTAATAGACTATTTCGATGTTGAGGATTCCTATGGAAAAAATTAATAATGTCAGAAAGGATTGAGCAAATTTGCTGAGGAATTAGGAATTGAATTTGAGATTCAAGCCAGATCAAACTCATTTAAGTTCTTTCATTATTTTTGTTTTTTTAATAGCTAAATATTCAAGATTTTATGCCGATATACTGTTTTATTGAGTATAGTATAGGGTAGATACATAATCGTATTTTGGCACCCATATTTTGGTCGACTAATCGATCGAAAGGTTACCTCTTCAACTACAGCCCTAGTATAGTTTGAATAATACACGGGTGAACTTTTATTCTTATAATGGACTCAGCAATAAAATGGCTCATCCCTCACCGCTCCAAACATTACATGTAAGTGTGGGATCCTCTCTGCTGCAGACCTGAGTTTCTGTGAACTTCTCTGACCGAGTGTTTGTCTCTGCAGTGTGGAAGCAGACTCCCAGTGTCCAGACCCCAGTGCTCACAAAGAGACCTCCTTCATCCAGTCTCCGTACCTGCGCAGCTCTGAGCGCTTCACCGACAGCACGGCTCCAGGCTCCAGGGGCCCATGTGTGTCCAGCTCCAACTCCGCCAGCCTGGCCTGGGCACTGCGCACTCGGCACCAACCGGCCAGTTTGGCGCTGCGCAAGCAAGAGGAGGAAGAGAACAAGAGATGCAAGGCTCTTTCTGACAGTTATGAGCTTTCAACAGATCTGCAGGACAAAAAGGTAAATGACTCTGTTTACGAAGCACAAAGAACTGAATTCCATTGAACAAAACGCATGTAAACCTTCCAGACCATTTGGAATAACTAGACTTAACTGTTTACTGCACGTTTCTGGCATTTACAGGAACCTCATAAACTCGATCCTATTGAGACACGGCCAGCCGATGTACTTAAGAGCACAGTGAAAGGCCAGGCTTACTGTATATCAATAATGCATGTACGCACATAGGACTCACTCGTTTTGTTCACTTGTGTTTTTGTGTTTCATTGTTTATTTTTGGTTTTGTTTTATGAGGCAGAAACAGGAAACATTATGCATGCACTACGGAAAGGAAACAACTTGTATTTTAGCCTGTGTGAAAATCAAAGTAAACAAGAGCTTGTGTGATTACGTTGGCCAAGTGTGCTTGCATTAATAGATATGATTTTTGCGAAGACTGGTTTGTTAACATATCTGTTTTCTTATACTTTGTAGACGCACTCATTGTTGAGATTATGGGCTCTCTGTTACAGGTGGAAATGTTGGAGAGAAAGTACGGAGGCTCCTTTGTAAGCCGCAGAGCCGCCCGCACCATTCAGACAGCCTTCAGACAGTATCGTATGAACAAGAACTTTGAGCGCCTCCGAAGCTCCGCCTCTGAGAGCCGCATGACCCGGCGCATCATTCTGTCCAACATGAGACTCCAGTACTCCTTTGACGAACGCCAGCCACAGCAACAGGCTCAAACACAGACCAGCTTCACCCACAGTGTGGCCATCGGCCCCCCTCACTCCCCAGACACTGACCGGCCTGGAGACTACACTCACCTGGAGGATTCCTTCTCCAAGCAGGTACTGGAACATTCTTCTTTTACACCTCTTACACGTGTCGGTCGGTAAATGCAGATGGGGTTCTGACTGCTGGCTCTTCTGCTTGTCCAGGTGAAGTCTCTGGCTGATTCTATAGACGACGCTCTCACCTGCCGCACCGGTCGCAATGACTCCCAGGAGGGCAGGGGGCTGAGCGAGGACTTTGGGGAGTGTATGTGGAGCAGCAGCAGTAACCCATCCTCTCAGAGGGGGTTGGGGGACAGAGCCAGGGGCCCAGGGGGAGGCCTGAGTATGCACGGAGACAGCACTGCTACCTCGTACAGTGATGTCACTCTCTACATGGATGATGGCATGCCCTCCTCTCCTCTGTCCCTGGACCGAGCTCCCAGCAGCACAGACACAGAGTACTGGGGTCCTGGCACAGGGGTGGGGGGCCGAGAGGACAGCAGGGACACAGAGGGGGGAGGCAGTAGTAACAGCCGCCGCAGTACGCCCTGCACAGAGTGTCGGGACTACAGGCTGAGAGGAGCTCACCTGCCTCTGCTCACCATCGAGCCGCCCAGCGACAGCTCTGTGGACATGAGCGACCGCTCCGACCGCGGCTCTCTGAGCCGTCAGCTGGTCTACGAGCAGGAGTCTGGGGTTGGAGGATCCCCCCAGGGAACTCTCAAACACTCTCCAGGCTCAGGGACCAGGCCCTCGTCTACGGCCGCTGCTCAGGGGCAGACCAGGCCCTCCGGTCGGGCTATCCCCACACACATCCCTCATCAGGTAGTGGCCCATCACCACCATCACCACCACCCCATCCACCACCACCAGTACCCAGACACTCCCTCCTCCTCTTCCTCTCCTCAACAGCCTCCCACCACTCCGCTGTCCTCCTCCTCCTCCACTGTGCTGCCCCCTGGTGGCTTGGAGCAGCCCTGTTGCTCAGATGGGGACAATGACTCGCTAAACTCCACCACAAACTCCAATGAGACCGTGAACTGCAGCTCTGGTTCCTCGTCCCAGGACAGCCTGCGTGAGCCCCTCCCACCTCTGGGCAAACAGACCTATCAGAGAGAGAGCCGCCACAGCTGGGACTCTCCGCCTTTCAACAGTGACGTTGTTCAGAGACGGCAATATCGCATCGGCCTCAATCTGTTCAACAAGTAATATGGTCAACATATTTGACCAGTTTTGAAAAACAATATTTCTGTAATGTTGTATTGTACTTCTACAGGAAACCAGAGAAAGGGATCCAGTACCTCATAGAAAGGGGGTTTGTATCTGACACTCCAGTTGGCATTGCACGCTTTATTCTGGAGCGGAAAGGCCTGAGTCGACAAATGATTGGAGAATTTTTAGGAAATCGCCAAAAACAGTTCAACAAAGATGTTTTAGAGTGAGTATGCACCATTGTACAAAGGAATAGTGAGATAGATAAGACATGAGCAGAGGCCGTCTCACAGCAGCCGTAGCTTCTCTGACCTTTCCTCCCACTCACTCCCAATGATGTAATGACATGACTTATGGTCCAAACGCTGTGTACCAGTGTACGAGCTCTCAGGGGGAGGCTGCAAGGTGACCATGCCCTCTGTCTTACAGCTGTGTGGTGGACGAGATGGATTTCTCAGGGATGGACTTGGACGATGCGCTGAGGAAGTTTCAAGCTCAGATCAAAGTTCAAGGAGAAGCCCAGAAAGTGGAACGGCTCATAGAAGCATTTAGGTGCGTGTTGTATTTGGGGTTTCTATTATGTGACCATAATCTATGTTTGTGTGTGATGTTTATATTTGTCATGATCATTTACAGTTATGAAGATTGTAGTTAATGATGCATTCGAGGTGGTCAGATAATGTATGACCACCTATTTGTCTAAACACATACATAATATGCCTAGCTTGAAGATGATTTTGTTGTAAACTTTCAAGTAAAAATCATAAAAGCAGATCAGGTTATAGACAAGAAATAAAATTAATATGAAATTTGGAACAAAAAGACTAAAGACTGAAAGAAAATTTGACTTTAAATTTGACTTTAACTTGCCTGACCATGCACCATTCTATAATAAGTAGCTGTAGTAGTAAAACTTTTTATTTAAAACATGCAAAATAAACCGAAATAATCAGAATGATGTCATGTTGTGTTAGACCAGAGCACCTGTAGTTGTCACACAGAAAAGATGTCCATCAGAGCACATAATAACTGTACGGTGAGAATAAAAAGAGCTTCTACACAATATAATGGCAGCAATAACATGATAAATATCTGTGAATATTTATAGACTAAATAAACTAAATGTCATTCATCTCAGCGGAGGTATAGCACTAGAACTATAGCCGTATTTGCAGAATCAAATCAAATCAAATGCCAGAAAGAGTAATATTGTTGTTGTTGCTTTTTTTCATTTTCATTTTTACGATATTTAGATTTGTTGGAATATGAGACCCACACATTGCAAACATAAATATGAGACTTAATAAATATTTTAAATAATATAATATAAAGTACCTACAGATTTTAAACTTTTTGCTATATTATTTTCTGTACACATAGATATTTTACATTGTATTAGTTGTATCTGATTTCTTTTATGATATGTATGGTGCTTTTTTTGTTTGTGAATTTTGTTATAAATGTTTATTTTTCAAAACATAAGAGCCAATACCAGCTAAATTTCAACTTACAACTGGCAACCCAAATGAGAGTCTCCTTGTCACTTTAAACTGGACTAATCAGCGCAAAAACTTTCACTCTCTTAACAATTTGAAAAGTACCTGACATCTACTTTATTACGTCTAAAAATCAATTCTGACGTTACATTCATGTTTTCCATGATACAAATATTACAAATGTGTTTCTTGTTACCTCTCAGTCAGAGATACTGCGTGTGCAATCCCACACTCGTGCGGCAGTTCCAAAACCCCGACACCATCTTCATCCTTGCCTTCGCCATCATCCTCCTCAACACCGACATGTACAGTCCCAACGTGAAAGCCGAGAGGAAGATGAAGCTGGACGACTTCATCAAGAACCTCAGAGGTGACCGATAACTACTGCCTGCATATGTCCTCTGCAGATTCAGCCTGTGCCCAGTTCATCTGTTTCAATGCTTTCTTCCGAAGGTGTAGACAATGGTCAGGACATCCCCAGAGACTTGCTTGTTGGAATCTACCAGCGGATACAGAAATGGGAACTGCGGACCAACGATGACCATGTGTCCCAAGTGCAAGCTGTGGAAAGAGTCATAGTGGGAAAAAAGCCAGTGCGCATAGTAGCTCCCTCAGTACTTTGCAAATGCCATTGGTAGACAGCAACAGTCATCTTTTTAACACATTATTTCTATTTGAGGTGGCACAAAACGTATATATATTTCATTATTGAACGAATTGAGCTATTTCGACTTCAGCAAATACTACCATTTGTGATTGAAAAAGCTACCAGTACAGAGCCAGAATGAAATGTTGTGCTAATGATTGTGTTATGTTTTCTGTTTGGACATATATATTAGCAGACAAACAGCATTTGGACCAAAAGTAAAGGCTGTTCATAAAAACACTGACCCGACATCTCGACAGACACACCCGAAAAAACCCACAGACAACAGTCAATCCTACGCAGGGCAACACAAAGGGCTTCACAGTCCACATCACACAAGATACAAATCATTACATAAAACATTAAAATCACCATTAAAAACACAATTAGAATCACAGAGGTAATTACAAACATTAAAACATTAAAATCACTTTTTAAAATTTGGCCCCGGACATACATTTAATTGACACACCGGCTACAGGCCTCTTGCATCTTGTAGTAGTTTTTGAGCATTGTAACCTGAAGTCTTATAGAATAACTATTGCAAACTAGTATGCAATAGAAATGACCTTCATACAGAAAGGTGTTTGACAAAGGAGACTGGATCCTTAAGCACGTCCTTATACTATGTTTGTTTAAGGCAGCGATGTGTTATTTTAAGCCTATCTTTACTTCTTTTAAAAAAAAAAAAAAAAACACGTTCAAATCACACAAGGGATTTAAATAATAAACAACCACAGTGCATTAAAAATAGATAAAATCCTTCAGTTGTATGCACTGGCAAACAGAACCGTCTTTAACCTGGATTTGAACACTGTCAGAGTAGACATCTCTCTCACAATAAACATCTTTTCACACACAAACAAACCACAAAATAAAGAAATCATTAAGCCATAAAAACATGGGTCATGAGATTGAGTGCAGGTAAACAGCATTTGTCCTGCAATGCCACTAGGCCCCCTGATTATGTATATTATCGTCATCTAGTTTATTCAAAGACTGAAAATGAAAATTGTAAACAGCAGCAAATTAGTATAGTAGTAGTAGTTGTAGTAGTAGTAGTAGTCGTTTATTCGGTCAAGCATCGCAAACAACGTTACAGTTAACTGTCAACATAACAACAGAATTACAATATGCCACCGAAGGGTTCAGGCTCAAGTTAAACTTATTTCACCTGACCCAGCACAAGGATACGGATAGTATCCTTAATTTGTAACAACACTGATATTATTTAGCATGAACCAGATTATGTCCCATGAATTGTTCGAAATTTTAGATCTGTGTTTGATAATGCCACACTCAAAAACTATCTAAAGTCTTAAAAAGCGTCTTACCATTTGATTTATAGTAATAAGTCAATATTCCAAGTTCTTTCCACCACTGGCAATTAGTGTTGTGGGACTGTCATTAGTGTCACGTTGCCCACCATACGATTCAGCCTCTTTCCTGTGTGCATAGGTTCTGTCTCTCCCACATCGCCGCCTCGTCTGCTGCTGCCAGCTGTACGAAGTGCCCGACCCCAACAGGCCCCAGAGGGCAGGCCTGCACCAGAGAGAGGTCTTTCTGTTCAACGACCTCCTGGTGGTGAGTCTCTGAGCCTGCTGCGGAGAAAGAATTTTGGAATTTAGAAAGATGCCATGTGATAAATACTATTTTTGGGTGTCTATGAGTTAGTATAGATCATTGGATTATCAGCAAGCCTCATGTTTAAGCCCATATGACAGTTTGAATACTAATTTCACAAAAATATAGTACAGATGGATATATTTAGGATTAGACTCATTATCATGATTAGTTTTCTCTAGTCTTTAACTTTTGGTAAATGTGATCATATACCTGTTTGGACAGGGCCTGCATACTGTATGTGAAATTAAAAAATAAATAGTCAAAGCTCATCTGATATACACAATAGTGATAGAATAGTGTTTGGAAAAAGAGTGCTAATTGTCTCTGAATTGGATGATGTTTGGTGAAGGGATTCCATGTTCAAATTCAGAACGTACATCTTATGCATTTTTCAACTTTTCTTCAACTTTATGTCACAAACAGAAACTTGACGAACCATTATCAATCATGTCCGTACTACTGAAACAGTTCAAAGTCACTAACCATGTGCACTTTAACATAAGATAAGAGAGACTTTATTGATCTCACAATGGAGAAATATACATGTCACATTTGGCATGAATAGGATCACTCAGGATGTGTGCAAAAGACAAGAACCATTGGATGCTACATAAGTTCAAAACAAATGCGCCTCTTCTGAATCTGTTAAACGCTTCTTTTTGTTATCGACGACCCGGAGGTTGGTGGTTTGGCCGCCATGATCAGAAGGATCTGAATTGGGCAATCCAATCAAGGAACACTAAGGAAAGGGAACTCTAGGCTTCCATTATTGGCCTTCGTCATCATCCCAAATCTATCTGGAAAAATGCGATCTGCAGAATCACAGTATTTATATAACTTATTGCAGAATGTGAAATACATTTACATCTGCTTACATAAACTTTATGAGCAGAAGAGCTTTAGACCCTCTTTTGTCCGTCTGATCTCATTATTATGTGTTTTTATGCTGCTTTGTGCACTTCATTTCACATTATTAGCAGAAGAAAGTGCTGCAACAGCTGATATAAGTCTGCAGTGTATTGATCTGAGCTCGATATAATATTAGAGGGTCATGTTCAGACTTTTCACATAAGTGCAGCTCTTTATTCATCTGCATCATTACATCGCGCTAGTGTGAGCTTCTGTTGTGTTTGACAAGATAGATAAATACTTGACCCCTGTAGGAGAATTTCAGGTTTCTAGTAGCAGCAGAAACACATCCATCCAAACAAACAAAACAAATCAATAGATCATTCTAAATTATTGTTAACAATAGTATTATAATGCAACAGCACTTCAGGTCACAGCAGCAGAGGTGGTGGAGCCACTTGCCTTGGCAGGTCACAGCAGCATATAGACCAGAATGTGCTTTATTGAGTCCAAAGTCCTCAACAGTGCAGAGGTTCTTTTCTACACCAGGCATGTCCAAACTCAGGCTTGGGGCCAATTTTGGCCCTCAGTGTCAGTTTATGTGGCCTTTTGCCTGCCAAAGTAGTCTTTGAGATCATACACACTGTGTCATCCATCCAACTTCAGCTCAGCCAATATAGACCTCATTCTAAAGCCCATACGTCTAGAATTGACTTGTTGACTTGATTGGTACATACTGTACTGAGGTGGTTTGTGATTGTGTCGCTGTTGAGATGGCAAAGATGTGTCATTCAGCCAACTTCAGCTCTGTCATAGATAATTTTAAAGCTCAGAACAGCCCGATGTCAGTCAAGACAGTTTTTCAGTCGGTGGCGTCGGCCCCTGGACTAGTCTGGTGAACTATAAAGTGGCCCTCTTACTAAAATGTTTGGACACCCCTGAATCTACACCATTAGGAGCAATAGTGACGAGGAAGGAGCTGTTTTTACCGATTCAGAATGGGGACACTGTGAATGTCCTTCATCTCTGGACCAGCAGAGACCCATCAGTTTCTGATGCATACCTGAGGACGTGTGGGACATATTTTGAGTTATTTCTTGAAGTTCTATTCTTTAATTGGTCCCATTTATTTTTAGATGTAGTGAAGTTTTTGTCATTCAAACATTCAAATTTTAACAGTAGTTCTGTTATCTTTTTTCAGTAACATATACAGTACCTAAAGATGATACATAATCATATTGAAAGCCACTGACTCTTTAACATCTCGTAGTTTTATCGCATATTATTGTAAGATGAAATAAAATGTAAAAAGAAGCTACTACTCAAGCCTCTACAAGCAGTTTGAAGAGCGAAGTCGAGATGGGCCCCATGAGAAGTGGTTATAGTAATTATCGTGACAGGCTTAATTACAAGTGTGAAGAGATAACTAAGGCTATCAGGCTATGTATAAGATTAAATGACTTTTAATAGTCTCACAGTGGGGATAAAGTTATGGTTTTATATCGTTTTCTCTTCAAGTCCTGTCAAAGTCAGCTGACAGGGGACCACCACTTACTTTGGCTACACTTTTATACATATATCCAATATTATCTGTGTGAGAAGTTTGTTTGAAGCTCATACAATGCTTTTATGCTTATTTCTTTCTCTGTTTTAAGTTATGGGGGTGATTTGGCCCAAACATATTATACTATGTTCTGGTAGATATCTATGAACACAATGAGTTCTGGTTTGTTTGGAATGCACCAAAACATGACCAACAGTTTATTTAGATTAAAATGGATGCTGTGGTTGTTTTATTGAGAAGATAAAATGACGTATATACTCCATAGTGTTCATATTAGCCTCTAATAATAATGCAGTTTCAACATCACTGTGAATGGTTTTTTAAGTATAGAGTTGTGCTTACTTAATATTCACTTATCTTGTGCTGTGTGCTCCTCCTTCCTACTGTTCTGTAACTTGTGATGCAACACTGAAATGTCCCCACTTTGGGACGCAGTGGGGATCATCTTAATCTAAATGCTGCAAGTCAGAATTAAGAAATGCGAATCATGTCAAACAGCACAAATGGGAAAAAGAATTGAAAGAAAATTAGATACAAATATATTTACTATAGTATTTATCCGGATTCCAGTTTTATGTCTTGTGTTTTTTCAGGTGACCAAAATATTCCAGAAGAAGAAAACCTCAGTGACGTATAGTTTCAGACAATCTTTTCCTCTGGTGGAGATGCAGGTGCACATGTTCCAGAACTCATGTAAGCCTTGTTCACATATGTACGACAGTCTCATCCCTGTTTCACACATTCTAATGCTTTTCCCCTTCATACATCAGACTACCCTCACGGCATTCGCCTCACAGCGGTTCTGGGAGGAGAAAGAAAGGTGCTCATTGTCTTTTTGGCGCCCAGTCAGCAGGACCGCACTCGCTTTGTGAGCGACCTCAGGGAGAGCATCGCAGAAGTGCAGGAGATGGAGAAATACAGAGTGGAATGTAAGCATTAAAGGCCTTTAATGTGTGCTCTGGGCGCCATCTAGTGGTCACAGTGCAGATTACAGTTACTCTCACTCTTACATAAACGAGGTGTTTTCATGTACTTTGAGGGAACATAAAGAAGGATACATGTGGAAAGATGGAAGGAGTGTCCGCATCTTTTCCACCAGGTGTCCAAATGTTTTACTTTTATTTAATATGACGTAGGATTTTATTTGTACAAAATGTGTTGTTTTACTTATGTCATTTAGTTCTTCTATACCAGACATTTGTATAACAATATTATCATGTTTGAGGTTGCAAAACGCTTCTGAGTAAGACAAAAGTTTGTCGTCCAAACGTCTAGGTAATGGCCTCTATATGGTATTATTGTCTGGGATAAAAGAACCAACTGACTTAATCTATTAAGGAGACAGGATGAACCTTCCTTATATAGTTCAGTTACTGTATGTTTGAATTGAAGGCTTATATTTATAATAAAACAGGCCAATGGTTTTTATTTTTTACATTATTTATTACATGCTGTGTTCACATTTTAAATTAAATTATGTGTTTTTTTCCTTGAGAAAGCTTTAAAAGTAGTGCCCCTCTAACCTCAATGCTGCTTTATTTTTTTTATTTTTACTAATCATACAACTAAATATTGTGGTCTTGAACAGTATCAAATTTGACTCCTGAGACCCTGAGCTCAAGCGGTTTGGTAAAAAATAATTTCACTTGATATAGTAATTATAGAATGAATGAAAACCCTACTTACTTTTCCTTTCTCTTTTGAGGGGACAAAGACAAACACAATTGCTAGAGAGAGTTATGTTGAATTGACATAGAATTGGATTAGAATATCCATTTTGAATTAAACGTTTGCCACATCCTGTGTTGTGCAGCGGAGTTGGAGAAACAGAAAGGTGTAATGCGCCCGAGCCTTCTTACTGGAACGGTAGGAGGCGTGGGCCTGAAGAGTGAAGTTGTTAATGGCTCCTTGGGAAGAACCAGTTTTGATGACAACTGCTCCATGGGCGAGGGCCTGAAACGCACCGCGCTCAGCTCCTCACTCAGGGACCTCTCTGATACAGGTGAGTCCGCTCCGTCTCACCCCCTCATGAACTGTGTGTGTCCTCTCTGCCACTGGGTTGAATGGGGATTTCTATTTCACCTATATCTTGATAATGGTTTTCATTCTTTTATTTTCCTCTCTCGCTTTTTGCTAACTTTCCTCCTCCTACTGGGGAGCAGGAAAACGTGGTCGCAGGAACAGTGTTGGTTCTCTGGACAGTACCATGGAAGTAAGTCTTCAATGTTGGTCTGTTGCTATCCATAGGCTTCACAATTATGGAGTTTCGGTTGTTGCCGTTTTGTAAAACCTATTTCACATTGGTATGTTGATAAAAACAATTATCTTGCTCAGATACCTCACTCCAATTTTCAGTCAACTCCTAGCGATAGTTATGCACCAGGTGATGCACGAGTGTGGAAGTTCATCTTTCTTATGAGAAAGCATTTTAGCTTTCCCAACGTTTTTGTGAATGCGGCATAGATCCTCAAATGTTGCATGAACCAGAACTTCATGAGAACTAGAGCTGCCCGTCCCGTATAACACTAATCTTTCCCAGCATGCTTTGAGGTGTAATGCTTTTGATGTATTGTTTTGTTGCGTCCTTGCCTAGTTTCGTACAGAAGTATAATATAATCTTGCTGAGACCTTGCTGCTCTTGTCTGTTCCCAGGGCTCTGTCATTAACAGCCCTCAGCCGCACCAGCGTTACCCAGTGCCTGGGGTCACTGGATGTTATGGATCAGAAGACTTCCGGCCTCACCGCCCCATCCTGAGCCCCGGGACGGGGGTGGGGGGTGGGCCGGGGCAGCAACATACCACTGCTGGGACAGGAGTTGGGGGAGTCTCCAGCAGTGTAGAGAGAGCAGGAGTGGGGAGCGGCCCTGGGGGGAGCAGCAGCAACAACAGCAGCTCTTTCCTGGGCTCACTATTCGGCAGCAAGCGCGCCAAGCCACCAGGGCCCCTTATTCCACCGGGGCCACCGTACCCCGCACCTGTCCCCCCACCGACTACAGGGGGGCCCCCTCCTCTCTCCCCATCATCTCTGTGCCAACTAGAGGGGGGGCCTACCAAGATTCAAGCCTTGCACGCACAGTACTGTCACGCGAACACCGTGCAGCCACCGCCACCATACTACCATCACCATCGTTACCACGTCCAACCTATCCCTCCGCCCTTACAAGGAGTTACCCCTCTCACCTTACAGAGAGGGCAGCTACCCTGTCGGCCACCCCTCGGCCCACCGCCTCTTACCCCACACCCGCAGCTGGCTCATCTCTCCCAGCTCTCCCAGCATGGGCTTCAGGGTCGCTTCGGCAACATGGTGGTGGGCTGTCCCCCACCACTTTCTCCTCTCTCCCAGCATTCCCAGAACCCCCTGGGCCTGTACCACATGCACCCCACACACTCAATCAGAGGGGGAGGCGGTCCTGGTGCCAAACCTCCACTAACCCTGTCCCACTCCCACCCGCACCCCCACGCACACTCCCAAACCCACCCCGGACACGTGCACACGCCGCACCCGGGCGTGCACTCCAGCCACCAAACACACTTCATATTCGGCACTCTACCCCACAACCTGCCGTCCGCTACCGTGAATGCGCATCACGCAGCCTCCGCCGGCCAGTATCTGCCCCAGTACCCAGCTCTTTCATCTATCCCCCCTCCCCCACCGCACTCCCCTTTACCCCCCCCTTCGTCCCCCCTTACCCCTCTTACCCCTCTCTCCCCTCACCCCCCCCAGCACCCCGGGCAGCCTCAGCAGGGGCAGCAGGTGACGGGGGCTGGGCCGACAGGTGCAGGGGGCAGCTCCAAATCCAAACCTATCAACCGGATAAGCACCGTGGTGTGAGCCGCACTTGGTCCCGGAGCCAGCGCTCGGACGAGCGCACCGACCACAGGTCGAGAGGCCGCACCAGAGCGTCTCGCACCGAGAGCAGCGGCAGCAGCGCGGCGGACAAGAGGAAACGCAGCCTGCTGCGCCTCTGCTACTTCCACCTGCGCTTCCCTCACATGTAGGAGGGGTTCTGAAGAGAGACTTTTGAAATGCGCCGATACACAATCAAAATAGTCTATAGCCATAAGATGAAGAACTATTTACAAATATATATCTTTAGTTTGAAATTAATATAAATAATTGAACATGTATAAGACTATTTACATGTGCAGTATTTTTGTGATATGTGACAACAGATCAATGAAGACATATTGTACCTTCAGCTGCTTACACAGGAACACAAAAGAAGTCTGCGAGGGGTTGCCAAATGTCTCTGACTCTGCAATAATTTACTCGGCTTTATGATGTCTGTCAATTCTTGCGGGTCCTGCTTTGTGGTATTTCTTTACTAAACAAAAAATGGTGAAACCTCCAAATTATTATCTTTTCTGAAACTATTAAATGAGTGCACGGTTACCTAATTGTCTTCTGCTTAAGGATATTTGTTGGACAAGGCCACCTGGCATTGAACACATTCCTCATTGGGCTCAAGAACCAATGAAACGATCAATAATTAAAATTGAATGTTTCTGAGCTTTTGCTGTTTTATTGATATTATAATATACCTGCTATGAGTATGATGAATATTGTCCTATAATTGTTTTGATCAGTGAACATATCGGCAGATGTATGTAAGTGGTTATAGAAAGTATATGCTCATATAAATCTCCACATTTTGCCATAGCTCTTAGGGGGTGATTATGTGTCCCCTCACCTTTTATACATTTAATTTGTAATTTATCTACATGGTATTTATCATAATGAATGTGCTTTTTGTTGAATTAATCTCATCACCAAATTGAAACTTATTTTGAGGTTTTTGTACTCATTACAAACTTTGCTACAAGCCATTTTCATAATTGGAATCTCAACTGTTGAGTGGACGTTTTTCTCTCCTTCTTTGTGCCACCTGTGACCTTTGGTGTCAGTTAAGATGCCTTCATTTACGTCAATCTATGTTTTAGAAAAGCACGAATTGACCTGAGGTTTTGTGATTTTGCACACGTGATGTCTGAACTTTATGGCCTTTTTCTAATTCTCCCTCTTGCCATTAGAGATATCTTTATATATTTTCAGATGCATTTGCATCCAGGGGTGGGCTTCTTGTTTGAAATGTCAAGAATGTAAAATAGCCTTCAGCTTTTTGCGTATCCCCTTTTGCTACTACATTTGAGGCACTGAAACCTTTGCCTTTAGTAACACACAAAAGCAAGCGTTATGTGTAATCTTAACTAAGATATATTGTCTACAAAAAAAGCTTGAAATGGCAAGAAGACGCAGAATATTATATGGTTTGGGGAGACTCAAGATTGTGGGATAAAGAATTTAATATGTGCTATTCTTTTATTGTGTCTTTTGACTCTTTTTGCATGAATATGTCCGCACTTATTGAATAGATTATATTGTATAAACCTGAATGTATATAATATAATATATAAGCTTCTCATAACAATGGGATATACTGCCATTTTGTTTTGCAGGTATGTGCATGTGACTGCCGCTCAATATGTACATAAAAGAGAGAAATGAAATGAAGGCCTAAAGAAATTAACTTTTCATTTATCATTTAGACTGAAGGTGCGAGAATGTGGAATGTCATTCAGTGCAACAATTAAAGATCAACACTTTACATTGATGCATTTATTAAAATATTTTAAACAAATGTTTAAATTGTATTTATGTATGTATAGGCCTTCTGTGTGTTTTGGAAGAATAGAGCATTGAGATGTGAATATTTATTGCTACTGATAAATTAAAGTGTCCTTGGAGTGACTTGGTCTGTTGTGTATTTAATGCAATTATTATACACCGCCATCTAAAGGAATCTACGTGTAGCTACAATGGCAGTAAATAGACGTTATTTACGAGTTATTGAATTAACATCTTATCAAAACAAAAAATCATATTAACATATTTTATTTGAAGTTGAGTTGAATATATGTACTGATGGACAAATATTGCTTAATTTCAATACATCGAATTTTTATAGGCCTGTTATTATTTAGTACATTTACATTTTAAAATCAACTATGTACGTATATATATTCTGTTTATTTTTTATTAAATTATTGTTTATAAAACAGGATCTGAATCAGTTATGTAGCGCATATTCCGCAGTTCTCCACTGAAGTCATCTACTTCCCCGGCAGCGCATTGACCTACTTTTGACATCAATTACTTGCATATGCAATCAACATTCGGAACCATGACGCTGTAACATATAAGCATGAAAATGATCCAAAAGCCATTGCTATTACTGCCCCCCACAAGATGTATAGTATAGTGCACACACATGTCTTAACAAATGAGAAGGACACATACTACTGACTTATGTATGGTCGTGAGAAAAAAAAAAAAAGCTAAGATGGCGTCTCGTAAAGAAAGATAGGATGGCCTGGAAGAGGTGTCGCTATCGGTCGAAAAATGTTTGACAAGGACACACTAGATAAAGTCTGAAGCTTTTTACTACTTTAAAAGCACCGTTGCCACCCATGCTCCGCACGTCGCCTCTTTGCTAGAAGTGGATTAGCTACATGGGGACATCAACTCGCTAGCGTCCGAGGCTAGCCGTTAGCATTAGCCACCAGCGGGTCCGACACCAGACAGCTAGCTAAACCTGCAGTCATCAACACAACAGAGAGCAACTACCAGCCCTTTACAACCCCAGGACATCGAAGTGTCTGTGGGTCAGTGTCCAGAATACAGCGTTTGGTTATGTCTACAGTAATAAGCTTGCTAGCCGCTGTTATGTCATGTGCAATGCTAGCTGATGTGGTTGCTGATATATTCTTATCTGTTTGATAGTTTTGGGTGAAGCTAGCATGTCTGGAGTGCTGCTGTGAGCCTAATTTATGGTCAGCTAACTAGCATAGATAAAAGCCCGAAAAGGTGAGGGGACAGGCCTTAAAATTACTATTAATCTTCAATACTGACAATGAAGTAATGAATTTGATTATGTTATAGCAGATATTTACATTATTTATGTTGTGTGGATTCATCTGTATGGCTCAAGTTTGAGAATTTAAAGATATGAGTTATAATCAGTAAAGATACGAAAATTAACAGGTATGTGTGCTAAATGTGAGTAGACCCGTGTTTTATTGAACTATAGCAGTGTTTGTGACTTGAAATAGTAATACCCACCCCCACGTAAACTACCAGTGATGCATTTGTGGCCTTTTGGTTCATGGCCTCCTCCTCATCGCCATTGTTTGTTTGAAGGATGATGAACAGCCAGGTATAAAAGCTATGCGAGTTATGATAATTATTAATTATGACGGTGTTGTGTATTATACATTTGAATAGAAGTTACCTGTTGTATATGTCAATATAAATGGGGGACTCAACACACCTTTGTTGATTGTTTGATATTAAGATGGCCTGAGTTCTTTCTGAACAGCTGCCAGTATTATTTTTAATGATCAGCCTACACTGTGAAGATCATGGATGGTTATTAAAGAGCTGTAGGCCTTTATGTGATGTGAGTTCACACTGGTTACGTGTCTCAGTGTCTTGGGTGGTGTTTAGCTGCAAGTATCAGCATATAAGACATCTGCTGTTGGCTCTTTTGTTTAGGGAGATGGAAGTGGACGAGTTTGTCCCTCCGCCGGAGTGTCCAGTGTTCGAGCCCTCATGGGAGGAGTTCCAGGATCCTCTAGGCTACATTGCCAAGATACGTCCCATTGCAGAGAAGTCTGGAATCTGCAAAATCCGTCCTCCCCCGGTAAATATAGTAAAACTGAACATTACTCAAGGACAGTATGCTTATAAAGGGTCAAATTAGTTATTGTGCACTTTGTAAAAGTTGTCAAATTATAAAATGCATGTGATTTTGGTCGTACACTTACTGACTACTATTACTGTGCTACATAAATAAACTTGCCTTGCTTACTACCATAGCAATTTTACTAATAGTAGATTTGTTGACTCTAAAACAGGATTGGCAACCACCCTTTTCAGTCGAACTGGATACCTTCCGTTTTACACCTCGTATCCAGAGGCTAAATGAGTTGGAGGTATATGTTTGACTCTACAGTATTTGCAACTCTACTTATACGTATCTGTATTAAACAGTTCTTCTCTTTTTTTCCCAGGCGGAAACAAGGGTCAAGTTGAATTATTTGGACCGCATTGCACGATATTGGGAGATTCAGGGATCCTCTTTAAAAATCCCACATATTGAAAGGCGCATTATTGACCTGTTTGGTTTGTCAAAGGTCTGTGCCAATCTGTTTCCCTTGTCATTGTACTCGTCTTTCTACATTGTTGCCTGAATGTTGTGCTGTTGGTGTTTCAGACTGTAACAGAGGAAGGAGGCTTTGAGATGGTTTGTAAAGAGCGGCGTTGGGCTCGTGTGGCACAGAGACTGGGTTATCCTCCAGGCAAAAACGCTGGTTCTCTTCTGCGCTCGCATTATGAAAGGATTGTTTATCCTTTTGAGATGTTCCAGTCTGGATCCAACTTGCTGGTACGAGTGCAGTTCCTTTTTAGTAATTGTGATTCATCAGTGTTTCTGATAAAATGAATAATCCCATAGTTTATTCTTGCCATTGTGATTTTAGATTGAGCTATAGATCTATGGAGGCTCCTTATATATTTGAGTTTCATTTAATGTCGCATAATGTTTTAAATAGTGTCTTGTTCTATTTTAGCATTGCAAACCAAGGCACTATGATGGAGAGGAAGTGGATAAAGAATACAAGCCACACTCCATCCCATTCCGGCAGTCGGTCCCCCCGTCCAAAATGAGCACCTATGGACGACGAGCCAATCGCTGCCAGCCTGATGTGAGTACACACACACACACACACATTCAAACACACACACAAAAGTCAGTAATTCAATGTGTTGCCTTACCCTGTATAAAGTATAAATGGCTGATGAACACAACCGTCATTATGTAAATAAATTCCATTCCATGGCAGTTATTGGCCTTTTAGGTTTGTAATAGAAAGTTGCACTATAGTTTCTCTTGTCTATATTTGAGTTTAATAATTCAAGAAACCTTGACGTTTATTATCCGGCTTCAGCCTCGTCATTTCATACCGCTCGGTTGGGCACAGTTCATAATACATATTTTTTTGAGTATATATTCAAGGCAACATGTTCTGTCATTATTTCTATGGCTTCTCTTCATGAGTCTTTAATTTATGAGTTTCTGCATATTTTTTTGTTTTTACCTTTTTATTTTTATTTTCACATGACGTGCTTCTTATTGATTCAAGACTGCGTTCAGTCGTGCATACCAGCTTTTCCTTCTGTGGCTGACCTGTGTTCCCACTGAACTGCTTTGTTGCTCTGGACCTTTCTCTGTTGCTTTGCTCACTTTTTTTCTACAAATCGAGATACAATGAGTTTTACTTTTTTGTTTAGATTATAGATTAATAGATATGTTTTGTCGTTTTAAACCCAAACATTGTGTGTATGTAGATCAAACTGCTTTCCTTATGGATTCAGATGGGAGTTTTTGTTTCAATTATCTATTAGCAGTTTTAGATGCAAAAGGCCTGTGTCAATATGACTGAAGTTAAATTTTTCTCACTTGCACATATTTATACATCGTTACAGAGCAGAAACTTTACAGCAGAAAGGCCGAATGGTGTAGGCTGAAGCTTATGCTTATTTTGCTTGCCCTTTTTTTTTTTTTTTACTAATAATTTTAAGTTAATCTGTACATCAGAATTTACGGAAGCAGTGAATATTAGATTTTTGGAAGATTTGACCCACAGACTCGAGTAACTCAGAAAACAATACAATCGTGTTTTTGACAATTTTCTCAAACTCCAGCTAAAAAGCACAGTGTTTATATGAAGTGTAGATGTTTTCTGAAAGACCTGCGCCCTCCTCCCCCAGCAGCCTCTGTGGTCTGTCCCTCTGGCCTTAGTTTATTGTTGCTCTGATTGTGTCCTGTTGCAGGGTCCAGAGGATGTGACCCCTCATCCTCTCAGCACAGGCTCTGAGCTCCAGTCTGCGGTACTGCCTCTCCAGCCAGCGGGCCTTCCCTCTGCTCCCTCTCTCCTCTCTCTTAACCCGCTCACAGTCTGATGGTGTCACTGTCTGTTATTAACATCTTCATTAACACACTGCTTGGAAATTCTTAATCAATAATACAGCAATGGAGATCATGTATGAAGCAAGTGTGGACATGTATATTAACAAATTAGCTTGGAAAAAAGTCCATTTACTTCTAGAATTGGGTATATATTTGGTTGATTGGCTTATAGCTTGTAAAAAACTCAAATAAAATGTTTTATAAAATGGACTGTAAGCCATAAAGACTTTGCATATTTCACTTTTGCATCATGAGTCTTTATCATATTTTGGTTTCCTATTTTAAGTTGTATTACAGAAAAAAATGAACATTGAACAATATTTTAAGTTTCACCTGTACATTAGGACAAATGTTATCCTCGTAGTTTACTTAATCTAGGTTTCATCCTGCATATTTCTAACTGTAGGATTTAATTATTGTATCATATACCTCACCCACTTCTATTATCTGGGGGCACATGCCTCTGTGATCTACAACTGTCAAACCAGACCAGATCAGCTTATCCCTATTTCAGTAAAAAATCATAGTGTCATGCATATAAGGCTTAATAATGTCTAATGTAAGTGCAATTCTCTGTGATTGCACTTGTCTGGGCTGTTTGCATTACATGCCTCCATCGCCTGCACGTGCCCCTAATTATAGATGTAAAAAAGTTCAATAAAAGCACTGACTTGTGCACAGCGTGTGTTGAGGGCGACTGGATTCACATGTTTCCTTCTGTGTCTCACGGAGTATTTCAGTTGTGGCATACATCAAACTGCTGATGTATCTGTGTGTGTTTGAGGCTTCTGGTGGTTTTTGGTGGTGGGCCCTGTTTTCAGAGATTCACTTTTTATTTCCCCTCTACTATTTTAACCCCTTGTGCTGCTTTGCTTTCTTGTTCAAGAACTTGCTTTTGCACTTGGCCGGGCAGTCGTTGCTTTTCTTTGTGCACAAGGCAAATATAATATTAATAGACTTGAAACGTGTATTTTCTTTTTTTTCTTCACAGCCCGAACCCACAGAGGAAGACATAGAGAAAAACCCAGAGCTTAAAAAACTGCAGATCTACGGCGCTGGACCGAAGATGATGGGACTTGGACTAGTGGCCAGATATAAAGGCTACAAGAAGAAAGGTACAGTGTAACAAATGTATACACTGATCACAAGGAATAATTACAGAGAATGTCAGAAAATAGGGATTTAGCTTGGATTAATGTGAATGTTTGTAAAAACCATCTACTGGGTTTTTGAAATAGGTTTCATAAATGTTTTATTTTCCTCCCATTAGAAGAACTGCCTCAAACTATCACCATTAAGGAAAACGCATCGCCGCCTCCCGTCAAGACTGAGCTCAATGTGTCTGAAGAGCAGAAAAGTGAAGAGCCCGACTCCACCCTGCCCCCTCCCTCCTCTGTCAACGTCAAACCAGAGTTCAAGAAGGAGGAGGCGGACGACAAGAAGGAGCTAGATCCGGACGCCGACGCCAAAATGACCATGAGGCTTCGGCAAAATATCAACACCACTTCGGTAAAGAACAGTGAATTATATTGTATTTGATAAGGTCCAACGGATCTGTATTTGCGGCTATTGGTGCCTATTCTGAGTGATTTAGGTGGTACGGTCGATTTCACCTCCAGGCCTTTCTGTGTGGAGTTTGCATGGTCGTGTCGTGTCCACATAGGTTTCCTAAATCCTAACTAAAACATGTACAATAGTCTCCCATAACACCCTCTCGAATTCTACTACTCTCCCATAACACCCTCTCGAATTCTACTGGCCGCCGCCAATCTCTGGGGTAGGGATGTAAATCGGTGACCGTTTAACCGGTGGTTGACCGTCACAGCGTTAACCGGTCAAAGCTGTCGGTTAAAAAAAGATAAGGGGGAGAGGGGAGGTCTCTTAATAAAGCTATTTTAAACACTGTTCGCACGGTGTGAAGGAGCGGTCCATCTCTAGCTGTGTGCGGCAATGCCGACTTTCATGCCGCACCCACACGCACGCACGCGCCATTTTACCCCGTTCCATTCACCCCGTTCCATTCACCCGTAACATTGACACGCATCATCCATACTCTCGTCAATCTCTCCCCTACGTTACTAGTTCGCCAAAGTTGTACACTTGTGCGGGTTAGAACTCCATTGGAGCATATACACACATACATGTACACACATACCGTTCTCTCGCGCTCCTCTGTGTCACGGAGCCCAAAGGATCCTCCTCGCAAATACACGGCTTCAGTCAAACCACATGGGAACATGTTTATGCTGCTGGTCCTTGTCATTAGATCAGCTCCACACACACACCAATTGTATTTAAACTTTAGCGGAGACCTGCGCGACACGGCTCGTCACTCGCTGCTCTGACCATGTGGACGAGCCGTCGTTTGCTGCTAAAAAGCTTTAACCCGCAGCACAGCCGATTGGGAAGATTAAAAATGCAGTTCTTTGTGCGCAAAGGTGCCGAAGCTGTTGCGGGTGTCGCTCTGCTGTCTCGGCTCTTACCCAGTAGAACGCATAGCTGCAATTATGAAAAGTATGTGGCTTGAAAGGGTTGTTATTTCAAATAACGTGCAATATTTAAAACTATGTGGTTAACCGGTTTCAACCGGTTAATGAGGCTCAGTGGTTGGTCATGAAAATTCATAGTTTTTTACATCCCTACTCTGGGGCCAGGACTGTCTTGAAAAAGAGATTCTGCTGGGACTTTCCTATATTTTCTGATAATAAATCATATTTAGGGTCATCCACAGTTTAACAAACCCTGTTTTTGAGCCAATTCCTTCCTGAACTTCAATTCCCCTGAATGATGTAGGTTATGAAAATGAAAATGGAATGAATACAGATGGTAAGCATGGTAGTGTTTAGGTTTGCACTGCTTTTAAGTCTATTTTTTTTAAGTCTTTCTGAAGTCCAATTGCATTTTTAAATTCATGGTAATTCCCTAAACTCTATTTAATAATAGATGTTATTCACTACTATCAAGCTGTATATGATAGATTCCTTTCTGCTGTGGTTCATCAGACTTCACGCCACCTAAGACGTTCTCGATACCTAAATGTTCCTTTGTCTGTCAACTGAATACGTTTCAAACCGTGGGACGTCAAGAGAATGTTTAGGGCCTGAGACAAATGCATTTTCTTGTATACATAACATGGTTTTCTTCACAGGTGGATTCCTTTGTTTGTCGCATGTGCGGGCGTGGAGATAACGATGAGAAACTCCTGCTGTGTGATGGATGTGAAGACACCTACCACACCTTCTGCCTCCTGCCCCCTCTCACTGACCCTCCCAAGATCAGATGGAAATGCCCCAAGTGTGTAGCAGAGGTGAGAAAAAAGCTCATTAAAATAAAATTCAATTCAAAAAGCACAGGAGTTGAAAAAGAGTTTTAAGGGCGATATGAACAGGTACCATCATACATTTTTTTCCATCAAGTATTCCACCTGATAATTATTATAACTTCTGAGGACGTAAGCACAAAGTAATTAATGAGGGCCGTGGTCGAGGCGTCCAAGGTTCTCTAGTGCATTTACTATTCATATTATGATCAGGTGCTTCTGCTATTCAACCCACATTTATTCATTCATTCCACATCCCCTCGATCCTTTAAGGAAACCAAATGGTCACGTACACGGGTTTACACAGGACGTAACATAAGTCTTAAGTCATTTAGTCTAAATGGTAAATTCTGCAATTTCAGAATGTCTCTTAATCCACTATTTATTCTGCCATTATGAGCTCACATAGATACATACTGATTTGATTTGAAGTGCGCTGCAACAGTGAAACTTCCTCTCTGTTGGACGAATAAAGGTTCTTTTAGCTTAACAATATTTGTGTAGCTTAATTTCTCCTATTGTTGTTTTGTTCTTTAAAATAGTGCTGCACAGGTTTTGTAATAAACATCATGATTGACAGAAAATAAACAGGTCTAACGTGTAGTAGGGAGCCACTCTTAACTGTGAGTGATGAGTTGATACATGAAGCAATGATCATGTGACCTGTTTACTACTACATTCAGGTTTAGCCAGGAATTAAGTGGGCTTGGTAAACATGGAATTCTAATGGATAGTTCAGTGACACTGAAGCCAGTGTCGGCAATAGCTCCAATACCGCACTTGTTTAGGATCCTGGTCACATAGACTTGGATTTCAGGATTTTATAGAATACTAGTTTCTTGTGTCTGAAGTAACTTTCTATATCAGTTTAATATTGTGTCTTCTTGAGACAAGTATGTGACTGGTTTTGGTATCTGTGCCATCTATGGATTTAAGTATAGTATCCCAGATAATGGCAACAGACCATCCCTAATGTGTGTCTTCCGTTTCCTCCCCAGGCTTGTAAGAAACCCACAGAGGCGTTTGGCTTCGAGCAGGCCACACGAGAATACACTCTCCAGAGCTTTGGGGAGATGGCGGATGCATTCAAAGCAGACTACTTCAACATGCCGGTTCATGTGAGTGCCCCAGTGCATGTGGATCTAAAGCCTGAAGCAAAGTCTGCAGAGACTGACCCTGGTGTGTGTCTGCAGATGGTTCCCACGGAGCTGGTGGAGCGTGAGTTCTGGAGGCTGGTGAGCAGCATCGAGGAGGACGTGACAGTGGAGTATGGAGCAGACATTCACTCCAAAGAGTTCGGCAGTGGTTTCCCCATGAACAACGGCAAGAAGGTCCTCACCCCAGAAGAGGATGTATGTATCATTTCAAATTCTTCAATGATGTAAAGTACAAAATATTTCTCACTTCAGCCTTTTACTTTTGAGCTTGAACCAAAATGTAATTTGTAAAGTTGTGTCAACATAAGAATGTAAGATAGATAGATACTTTATTTATCCCCGTCGGAGAAATTCAGGTGTCCAGTAGCAGAAAAATAAAAAATACAATTTATCATTCAAAAAAGCTAACAATAGTAATCCTCAGCAACAGCCCTTCAGGTCACAGCAGCAGAGGTGGAGTAGCCTCTTGGTTCGGAGCATTTTTTCTGCTCTAGTCCAAAGTAAAATGCTAAATGCTTCATTAGCATTTTGCAAAAAGTTAGCATTCCTCCAGTGGGTTTTCATCTGATCCACTTGGTTCGGACCATCAATCCTCTCCGCTCTGGTCTTGACCAGTGTAAAACCATGAACACTGTACCGCAGCAACATCTCAGGTAGAAAAAAGCAAGAAAAATAAAATGTATAAAGCACAAGCTTTTACCATTCAACAGTTCAGGACAATATTTTTTTTTCACTATTTGCTTACTATTTTATAGTCTTTTTTTTTTTTTTTTATTGGTTATTGACAATCTTAACCACAAATGGTAAAACCTTCCCCTTTCATACAACTGTAAGTCCAGATTTACAATCTACTACTGTGTGTGTTCTGAACAGAACTACGCCCGCTCCGGCTGGAACCTGAACGTGATGCCGCTGCTGGAGCAGTCGCTGCTGTGCCACATCAATGGAGACATCTCTGGGATGAAGGTGCCCTGGCTCTACGTGGGAATGGTCTTCTCTGCTTTCTGCTGGCACATAGAAGACCACTGGAGTTACTCCATCAACTATCTGCACTGGTATTTCAGCTGCTCATGCATCTGTCTCTGTTCACATATTCAAAGTACACATGACTTGAATGAATAGTTAGCATTAGTCACTTCAGTTTCTGAAACAAACCTGTAACCTTGTGCTTTCTGGTGCAGTTTGATGTACATTTCAATATTTGAATATTAGCTTGATGTAAAAGCACCTGTACCTCGGCCTTTTTTCCACAGGGGGGAACCTAAAACGTGGTACGGAGTCCCCTCTGTGGCGGCAGAGCGGCTGGAGGAGGTGATGAAAAAACTCACTCCAGAGCTGTTTGAGTATCAGCCTGATCTGCTCCATCAGCTGGTCACCATCATGAACCCAAACATCCTCATGGCCCGCGGGGTCCCGGTGAGTGACCGCAGCTGATCCCACACGACCACTGGGGGGCGCAGTGTTCAGTGACCGTGGGTCTTTGTGTTCCAGGTGGTGCGCACCAACCAGTGTGCAGGAGAGTTCGTCATCACCTTCCCCCGAGCCTATCACAGCGGCTTCAATCAGGGATACAATTTTGCAGAGGCTGTCAACTTTTGCACCGCAGACTGGGTAAGAAGGACCACATCCTGCCAGACCTCTGAAGTTAAAGTAGTACTAGAATTTAATATGCTGCTATCCAGAATATATAACTACAATATGTGTTTATAATATTTCAGGTGTTCATTTTGACATGTTCAGATGAATTATGTTAAAAAAACGGCTTTCAAGTGGCACCTTTATAAAAACGCTAGGGGGAGCCAAAATGGCGGCGATGACGACGTAGGGGAAGGCCATCTCACAGCAGCGGACAGCAGTCTTGGCTGAATCTGTAGGAGGTTTCGCTGTCCTCTGAACAAGGTATAAACATATTTTCATCCGTTTTGTACATAATAGTGTGCAACTCTTTTAACCTTTTAGCCTTATTTGTGAGATTCAAGCTAATTAGTGTTGGGCAAGTTAGCTAACTCTACTTGATATCATAAAACATGCTAACAAGGCTAATATTTGTTTTTACATTATGCCAGGCTCACTGTGGTTGCCTTGAATTTATTTACCACAATGTACATTGTAATATTCAAAAATGCTAATCAAAATAACTTTAATTAAATAAATATTTTACTTTTATGAACAAAAAGCTGCAGAAGTTGAAAACATAGACTACATGTGATGCAATCATTGATAAAAATGCTAATTAAACCGTTAATAGGTGTTAGCATTTATGGATATTACAATGTACATTGTGGTAAATAAATCTAAGGCAACCACAGTGAGCCTGGCATAATGTGAAAACAAATATTAGCCTTGTTAGCATGTTTTATGATATCAAGTAGAGTTAGCTAACTTGCCCAACACTAATTAGCTTGAATCTCACAAATAAGGCTAAAAGGTTAAAAGAGTTGCACACTATTATGTACAAAACGGATGAAAATATGTTTATACCTTGTTCAGAGGACAGTGAAACCTCCTACAGATTCAGCCCAGACTGCTGCTGCTGCTGTGAGAGGTCATTCTCCTACGTCATCGCCGCCATTTTGGCCCCCCCTGGCGTTTCTATGCGGAAGTGAAAAAGTGCCACTTGAAAGCCGTTTTTTTTAACATAATTCATCTGAACATGTCAAAATGAACACCCGAAATATTATAAACACATATTGTAGTTATATATTCTGGATAGCAGCATATTAAATTCTAGTACTACTTTAAGCAGGGAAGGGGCTGGTTAGTACTGTGATAGGAGACCTTTGGGAACACCTGGTGCCACTGTGGGGCAGTTGTGACTGCAAAGTGACAAACTGTCGTTGTGGTTATAGGGAAGACACTTCACCCACAGTAGAATTGGTCTGGTGTATGTAAATGGTCTGAGGGGCCTATGGCACATACTTGTTGCCTCACATGTCAGTGTGCTCCAGGGCAGCTGTGGCTACATTAGTAGTTTACCACCACTGTGTATGGAGTGAATGAATAATTATATTTGAATCGTCAGTGTCCAAAAAAATTATATGATAATTATTACTAATGAAGAAGCGATTATAATATTGCCTCTACATCTTTCTGTATGAAACTAAAACGATTGTGTGTATGAATGATAGTTATTGTAATCCTGCCTCACCTCTTCTTCAATCAATCAATCAATCAACGTTTATTTGTAGAGCGCCTTTCCTACACAAGGCAACGCAAAGCGCTTCACATCCCCTATCACATCATGCATAAATCAAACACATTAAGAGCACAAGATATATTAAAAACATTAAAAATAAAATCACAAAAATTAAAAACCTTTAAACATTAAAATCACAGATGGGACTAAAATCATAAATAGTCACAGTGCATTAAAAAGATTAAAGATTAAAAGATTAAATAAAATCATTCAGTTGTATATGCGCAGCTAAACAGAATTGTTTTGAGCCTAGATTTAAAAGATGCCAGAGTAGACGCCTGTCTCACATTCTCAGGAAGACGGTTCCAGACTCTAGCCGCATGAATCTGAAATGCAGTTTGCCCATGTCTAGTACCGACTCTGGGCACTAACAGGAGTCCAGTCCCTGTGCTCCTCAGAGTCCGGGTCGGTTCATATGGCACAAACATGTCATGGATGTACCTTGGCGCAAGACCATGGAGAGACTTGTACACAAGTAAAGCTGCTTTGAAGTCTATTCTCTGAGGAACAGGAAGCCAGTGCAGAGACCTGAGGACTGGACTAATGTGGTCGTACTTCCTAGTTCTGGTCAGGACTCGAGCTGCTGCATGTTGAATGTACTGCAGCTGTTTTACAGCCTGTTTGGACAGACCTGTGAGCAGGCCATTGCAATAGTCTAACCGACTGGAGACAAAAGCGTGTATAAGAGTCTCCAAGTCTGCCTTAGACACTATGTTTTTAATTTTAGCAATGTTTTTTAGGTGGTAATAAGCTGCTGATGTTACAGATTTTATGTGGCTTTTGAAATTTAAGTCTGAGTCCATTATCACTCCTAATCACACTTCTTGTGTCTTCCCAGCTGCCGGCGGGTCGCTCCTGTATCGAACATTACCGTCACCTCAGGAGGTACTGCGTCTTCTCCCACGAGGAGCTCACCTGTAAAATGGCCACGTGTCCAGAAAAGCTGGACCTGAACATGGCCGCAGCTACACACAGGGAGATGTTCATCCTCGTTCAAGAAGAGCGTAAGCTGCGGAAGTCTCTCATGGAGCGGGTAAGCTCTAGCTCTGCTCTGCTCTCGCTGGGCTCTCACCCCATACTTCTGCCTTCCTTCAATCTGATTATTGTATTTGTTCTTCAGGGCATTACTGAGGCAGAGAGGGAGGCGTTCGAGCTCCTGCCTGACGACGAGCGACAGTGTGACAAATGTAAGACCACGTGCTTCCTGTCTGCGCTGGCCTGCTCCAACTGCCCCGAGCGGCTGGTGTGTCTGTACCACACTCAGGACCTGTGCAACTGCCCCACTGACAAGCTCTACCTCAGGTCTGTGCCCCTCTGTGGCCCTCTGCAGCCTCTGGCAGCACGTGGCTCAAATGTAACGCTCTGCTTGTGTTCACAGATATAGATATACGCTGGATGAGTTATTGGCCATGTTACATCGATTAAAGGTTCGCTCTGAGTCCTTTGATTCGTGGGCGAGCAGAGTGAAGGAGGCGCTGGAGCAGGAGGAGGGCAACAAGATCGGTAAGACTTTCACCTGCATCCATTTTGTGTCATGTGTCTGGACCATTCCTCACATGATCTGTTACAGACATTGAAGCTCTTGAGAAACTGAAGATTGAAGCCGGTGAGAAAAAATTTCCTGACAATGAACTGCTTCGTAAACTCAACAAAGTTCTCAACAAAATCGAGGACTGTAAAAAGAGCAGTGCTGAACTCCTCAGTTTGTCCAAAACGGGGTCAGTTAACTAACACGAGACACACATGGACACTGGCTGTTCTCTGCTTCTAAATCACACCCTTTCTTTCAGTGAAAACAAAATGTCAGCAGCAGAGCTGTTGTCGTTGGTGGAAAACATGCAGAATCTGCCGTGTGTCCTGAAGCCGCTGGAGGAAGTGAAGGTACAGTGTTGTCGAGTGTCCAAATACATAAGCTCTGAACTCTGTGGATCTAAAGCTTCTGTTCTAACGTTTATGTTTTTACTTGTAGGCCATTGTTGAAACTGTGGAGTCTTTCCAACGGTTGGCTCAAACCTTCATCCACAGTAAGGACTGGAGGAAAGAGTCTCCTCCTGCAGAGGAGCTGCAGGGGCTGCTGGAGCAGGGCTACCAGCTCCCTGTGACCGTCCCAGAGAGTGAGCTGCTGCTGGGGCTGAAGGAGCAGGGCCGCTGGCTGGCTGACGTGCGTTGCACTCTGGGCACCGAGAGTGGGGAGCGACAGGAGGTCACTCTGCCGGTGCTCAGGAGCCTAATGGACGCCGGCTGCAGTGTCCCTCAGAGCCTTCCTGTGGAGTCGGCCATGGGGGAGCTGCAGGAGCTGCTCACCATCGCAGAGCGCTGGGAGGAGAAGGCTCAGATCTGTCTGGAGCAGAGGTACCACACCCAGTTTCAGGCTCTAACTGTTGCACAACTGGTTCTCCGGCATACAGCTGCAAACGATTACATAATTATTTTTGATGATCTACAGACAGAAACACCCTCTGTCAACTCTGGAGGCCATTGTGAACGAGGCACAGCTCATCCCAGTGAAGCTGCCCAACATCATGGCTCTTCAGGGCTGTCTCACACGGGCACGCGCCTGGGTCACTGATCTGGAGGAAATTCAGGTATTTATTCTGTGACGCTTCTTGGATCAAGAAAACGTTTATACTGTGGCATATTTGAGATTTGTGTGTTTGTGATAGAATGGGGAGCACTATCCCTGTCTGGATGACCTGGAGGGTCTTGTGGCCATTGGGAGGGACTTGCCAGTGTTCATGAATGAGCTCCACCAGCTCGAACTACAAGTGAACAGCGCTCACTCGTGGAAGGACAAGACCAGTAAGACGTTCCTGAAGAAAAGCAGCCAGCACAGTCTTCTAGAGGTACAGAGCAGCAGTGCATCTGAACACACTCCAAACCAACCCTGCTCTAGTAACATCACTCTGACCATGTCCCTATAGGTTCTATGTCCTTGTGTGAAGCGGCGAGAGAAGCGGGGCCACACGGAGCCCATGGAGGACCCTCTGGATGATACTGATAACAACACACTGGGCCTCTCTGCCCAGGACCTGAGGGATCCAGCTGCTATTGTATGATTGGAATAATATCATTGTATAAATCCCCTTGTTTCTATTTACATGGTATTGTTTTGTTTTCTCTTCAGGTAATAGCTTTCAAAGAAGGGGAGCATCAAGAAAAGGAGGCTCTTCTGAGGTTACAGAAATTAAACTTGTGTAAATCTGGTGTGTCATGTTACAAGGAGGAAAATGAGAACGGTGGCTGGGACAGTGCCATTGAAACAGACTCGTCCAACCACTCGGAGAACTCTGTACAGGAGAGCATTAGTGGCCCCCAGACTGTGTGTGTTTGTGGGGGCAAACCTCGGGCCCCTCAGCTGCGCTGTCATCTTTGTAAGGACTGGTTTCACGGAGGCTGCGTGTCCTTCCCCTCGCTGCTGCCCTCTTCAGAACAGTTGAACTCCCTCTGCTGGTGGGACTGGGACACACGCTTCCTCTGCCCTCAGTGCCAGAGGTCCCGGCGGCCACGGCTCGAGGTCATCCTGGCCTTACTGGTGGCTTTGCAGAAGCTGCCGGTGCGGCTGCCCGAGGGCGAGGCGCTTCAGTGTCTGACAGAGAGGGCCATCACCTGGCAGGGCCGTGCCAAGGAGGCGCTAGAGAGCAAGGAGCTACAGCAGGCCCAGCAACGGCTGCAAGAACTCAAAGACACTCTGCAGAAGCACACAAAGAAGCCAGAGGTGAAGAAGGAGCCTGATGGGGGCGCTGTGATCGTTCTGTCCGACTCTGAAGAACCTGAGGACGACAGCATTATAGATCTGACTGACGATTCGCCAAAGAAAAACGGAATCAATGGTGTTAAGGTGAAACTCTAGCTCCTGATGTTTAATGAGTATGGATTTCTTTGTGAGACTTGTGTTTCTATTGTTGTTCTTCCCGCAGACTTCGTCTGAAAATGGCTTTAGCCAAACGTCCAGTGAAGGTGAAGGATCCATGATATGATGATGTAAGACTTCATATTACATATTCTAAAGTCTAAATGATGTGTTTCAGGTGTGGGCGCTCTGCTACCACTACTGCCTTCTCTGAAAGGATCTGTTGTAGAGCTCTCTCCAGCCACTAGGGGGAAGCTGGAGGAGCTACTGCTGGAAGGAGACCTGTTAGAGGTGACTTTGGACCAGACCCACCTCATTCACAGGGTCCTACAGGCCGCGTCAGAGCCCCCCACAGACACGCTGCGCACTTTGATTCAGGTCAGACATCCTCTTCATCACACAGGTCTTTGGAACGTCAGTACTTACATCTAAATCTCTTCTGATGATTTTGTAGATTGAGCTCGAGGAGCAAAGACAAAGCAGCCGCGGTCGGACCAAGGACAAAAGGAAACGCAAGGGTCAGAAAAGCTCGAACAGGGACGGGTCAGACGTGTCTGAGTCGAAGAAGACCTGCCCCTCGAGCCACAGCCCCGCCCTGCAGCCACTGACGACCTCCAGGCTATCGTTATAGTTACGGTATGTTTCAGAAGACATTTTACAAATGTTGAAAGCCTCTTTTGATGAAATGTGGCGTGGTCCAAAAACATTTTATATAGGAGACATTTACTATTCTAAGACCGCATCAGTAATCTGTAATTAAAATGTATGCGATGGTCTTTCTTTGGTGAAGTTCTCCTGAAGATTACAATGTTTATTTTATTCAGTGTATTTTTGAATAGCCCAGTTGTCTTCTGTGCTGAGTGAGAGACACATGCCCAAAAATAACAATTGTAAAGCGCTTTTTGACTCTGGTCTGAGAAAGGAGCTATATAAATAAAGATGTCTTACTTACTTGGAGGAAGTTGTCAAAATCCTCAACAACAGATCAGAGAATCAAACGGAACACAGGAAATTAAATAACAAACACATAGGAGCGATTAATCCTCAGGGAACGACACTGTCCATAAATGGTTTATTTGATCATCTAATATCGCACACCCAAAACGTTTTCATTATTTATTAAAAAACAAATATGAAAGGAGTTGGACAAATCTGGCCCCTATCCCTCTCCCAATTAAACACAGACACGACACAGGCCCACCCCCTCACTGACCCTACACCTCTCTCACCCTCAACTCTTTCCGTTTTAAATAGTATTGTAAACAGAGTCCGGTTTGAACACTTTCGCCCCCACATTGAAATGCAAGAAATATTTCGCCCTCTGCTTCTGTTTCCTCCTTTCGCTTACATCACTTTTTTTCCCCGTCTTTTCCAGGTTTTGTGATGCAAAAGCGGAGCTACGTATTTATTAGAGCAACGTAAAGCGACAGAAGACGGTGTCGAGCATAAGGAAAAACACGGGACTCCCTACATTAAGCTCCTCTCCTAAAGAAAACCCTGTCCATCCATGTCCCTCAACACTAACGGAGCAAAGCCTCTGCTACACACTCCACGTCATCCACTCTCGAACACTGTATCACTCCCCCCGCCCCTCCCTCCCCCTCCTCCCCCTCTTTATGTGGACGTAAGACTCTCTCGGGACGTATTAAACTCTAGTTCGAGGCCGGCACACTCCGACTGTTGCAGTGAACGCGGGAAATTCTCGGGCATAAAAAGGTTCAGCCGTCGTTTTTCTATAAAGCTGATCTCGGAGAAAAATGCATTCTCACCCTTAAGTTATATATTCCACCTTTTTTTTTTTTTGATTTCCTAAACTCTTTACAGAGACATGCATATTTGTTTTCCATGGGATTAACTGTTCGGGAAGTGTTAAAAGCAGGAATTCTTGTTTTTGGTGCTACTTTCCCAGAATCTGTACCTCCTCTGCTTTCCCACCTCCCTCTCCCCCTACACCCCCCCTCCCTTTCACCCATTATATATTTTATTTTTTTTAAGCTTCAGTCTTGTTTTATTGCTTTACTCGACCTATATTTTCTGCTCTCTGGAAGATCATAGCAACTTACTGTATTTGTCCTTTTTCTGAGTTTAAATGATTATATAAATATTATGGTTATTACGGACACACTGCTGTCGTGGATTTGTGTATAAAGTTTTTCATTTTAATGTTTCTTTCACACTTGGTAGAAAATAAAGGTTTAGTATTGTTTAGGAACACCGCGTCTCGTTATTGTGTCAAAGCAACAACACACTTTGAATATTGGGTTTTATTTTGATGTTTTGGCAATAGAAAAGAGAAACGGTCACTGGACGCCACGACATTCAACAGTTACATCACATCGCTCTATGCTACAAGCTTTTTCATAATCACATGTAAAAAGCATTTGGCTCAAGAGCAAACATGCAGAAAAGAACCACATTTAGCTGTGTTTGTGGAGGGACTTTAGTTCAGTGGTTGCTAATACATTTGTCTTGTGAGCGGGGTGGCATTAAAGCTGGGGTACCAGTTTTTTTGTTCACAATCAGTAAAAACAATGTCACACACAGAGTGAAGGTAAAATGTGATCAAATCGGACCACAACATGCCGTCTTCATCTTATCAGAAAATATGTAATGTTTTGCAATTGCGTGAGAGCCTTGTGAGTCACTATTGATTTTATTACAGTTCAATTGTTTGATTTGAAAAATAGCTACCCCAGTTTTAATTTGAAAACAAAGCTGTTTATATCAGCCTACATTGCCACCACTTGTCTTGGCAGTACATTTCAAATGCAACTTTACATAAATGAGAGCTGTAATATGTGCTTAGAACAAGAAACCATCAAATGTGATGTATATCGTTGTGCAGATTTTTCTAGCCATAACAAAAACGTATTAATTCAGATTTTTTAAAGAAATAGTGGCAGTTAGGGCAAAAGTTTCTGTCAAATGTGGAGAATAATTGTAAACATCATTCCCATAAAAGAACTGTACCTACAAAAAGTACAGACTTAAGTAGTTTTTACTTTCACCGATGGTTTGTCCTATAGCTGTGGCCCGTCTGGTTCTAGGAATGTGACTTCATTTGTGCTAAATATTGTAAAATGTTACAAAAAACATTCTGCGTCAATTGCCAAGTTTTCAGTGACAATGAACTGATGTCGGAGCACTTATGGCACAGGATTAGTTTCACAGTTGCAGTATTGGCTTTGAGATTGTGCTCAATGTTTGTGTTGTGTGTGAGATTTTCCAGCAGGTGGCGATGTTTCACTAATTTACCCATTCAAATCATAGTCCACTTCAACTCTATTATGTAAAGCAGATCTCAGACATTTTAAATATATTTGAATATTTAAGTTGTATGTAACTTTAACTTCAGACAACATCCTGTCATGAATGTAGTCCATGTGCTCGTAGAATCAAAGTAATAAGAATTATAAGCATGAGGATATCTACCATTCAGTGCATCTAACATCGACCTGTTCAGCGGTGATTACAGAGTGCCAAAGAAACAAAGGACAGAAATGCTACAGAATGCATATTTCTGCAGGTGAAGCTCACTGTTCATGTGGTGATTGTAAAACCTCAGAGTGCGATGGCTTCAGACTTTCATCAGACTCGTGTTCTTTGCTGGTGTTCTGCTGGAGCCTACACCGTGGTGACGGAGAGCAGAGGGTTGTAGACCTTGGTCCCGTCTTCAGAGCGTGTGCCGTGAGACAGCAGCTCCTGGATGGTGAACCAGTTGTCCAGGATCCTGCGGCTGCGTTTCTTGGTGCTCCTGCGATGGCACAGCTCCAGGATGGAGGAGGGCAGCTCTGGCCCCGTGCTCTGCTCTCGCTCTCGCAGACAGTCCAGACGACTCTGCATCATGAACTCTCGGCGTCGGCGCTGCTCACGCGCCTTCAGCAGGTGTCTCTTGCGCTCCTCTTTGCTCCAGTAGCGACCCATCTTCATCTCGCTCACGGCGTCATCGTCGGTGGTCATGCCGCTGCGCTCCTCGCTGATCTTCATGGCCCGAGCCTTCAGCAGACGGTCCCTCACAGGCCGCTTGGCCACGTAACGTGTGCCGTCACTGCGGATCTTCACCTTCCACTCCATGCGTGGGGACAGGGGTAAGGGCAGCGTGCTGGCTGTGTGTAGGGCATCCTTACAGGTGCTGCCCAGGCTCATGGGGCTGGCCTCTCCACTGCCCACACTGCCCTCTCGGGACAGTCCCAGCTGAGGGGACGTGGGAGGGGACCTCAGCTGCGAACAGCTCAGGAAGCGCTGAGGCGGCAGGGGCTCCGTCTGCCTGCGGGACAGGTAGGGGCTGTTCTCTGCGCTGCGGCCTCCTGTCCTCTCAAATGAGCCGTTGGTTTTGATGGAGCGCTTCACGGCTCCGTCCGAGCCTCTCCTGCCCTCTCTGGACAGAGAGCGCACTTTAAAGGCCGGGCTGGAGGGCTTGGCCTCTGCTCCGCGTCTGTGGAACTGTGGAGAGTACAGGTTGTTGTCTCTGTCTGCGTGTTGCCAGGTGAGAGGTGGGAGCTGAGGGTCCGGGGACACAGGGGCCTCTCCGCCCCCCTGAAGGCTCTGGGTGGAGTTGGCGGGAAACTGCTCACTGACCAGAGGCGTGCTGCGGCAGCTCTCTCCTCCAGTGTTGTAGGCACTTGTACTGTCCTTGTCAGAGCGGTCTCTCTCTGGGATCTCGTTGATGTCAGACAGAGTGGCACTAGTGTCCAGCCGTGCGGCCCCCAGCCCAGGGGCCTTGTCCTCCAGGGGCCAGGCCTTCATGCAGCGCACCCTCAACTGCTGCATCTTCTGCGCCCTCAGGATGTTGCGGCACTTGAACTCCAGGTGGCGCAGCTCTTCTTCGAGCAGGGCCAGTTCATGCTGCGAGAGGCTTTCGTTCCTGTTGACGTCCAGTGGGACGCCCCCCTCCTCGGTGCCCCCCTCCCCGTTAAAGGTCTTCTCATAGTAACACTTGATCTCCAGCAGCTCCTTGTACCTCTCGCACTCCTCCTCCGTCAGGCCGGGCATCATCATGGTCCTCATCATGGGGTCGGCTCCGTAGCCTCGGTCCAGAGCCTCGAGCATCAGCAGAGAGTCTGTGCTGAACTGCAGCTCCTGCGAGTGCAGCAGCGGCGGCGTGTCTGCGCGCTGTGTGCAGAACCTGCGCATGCTTCCTGGAGTGTTGGTGGTGTTGGTGTTGGGGGCGCTGGTGTGGTCGTCTCCTAACAGGTCGTGTTCAGAGGACTCCTCGTAGCGCGTGCTCTCGTCAGTGCGCCCCACGCCACTGTCCAGCTCCTGGCTGTTACAGAGCACCGTCTGCACCAGGACCGTGTGTCCCCTGAGCGTCCCGGCGCCTGCGGGGCCTTCTCCAGCGCCTCCCGGCTTACTGCTCCTCACGCTTTGCTCTGCAGGCAAATTAGCGGAATTGTCCAGAGGCTCCAGGTCCTCATGGTCCAACTGGTTATCGTTCTGTGGACGAGAAGAACAGATCAACAACACATTCTCTTTGTATTAGTATGTTTTGGACTTATCACTTTTCTTTGTCAACAGCTCAGCTCTGAAAAGTCAGACTCACAGAAAATGTAGTATCTGTGAGTTCCATATTGAGTAATGATAAGAATTTCAGTAAATATGGGGCATGGGAATGAAGACCTCAACAGGTTATTATTGCATTTGATTCTCTGATCTGTTTTTGACAAATCGACAACTTTGTAAAGTCCTCAAAGACCCAGTCAAAAAAAAAAAAAAAAATACAAACAACTACTGCTGTTGTGATTTAGGGCTGTACAAAAATGTATTGACTTTGATTTAGTTTTTATGTTTTTTTGCTCTTATCAGATTGGGCATTGTTATGTACCTATGGATTCTCTGCTGTTTTGCTTGTTTTTTCGTATTTTTTTTTTTACTGCTTAGTCCTGTGCTGTACTTTGGAAACTCTTTTTGCATATGAAAATGTGCCATATATAAATAAAGGGGATTTGTCTCAGAGTGAAATTGTGCTTAGACTTGTGAAACCTTAACCCTGTTAGTGCTCACAGACCCTTGTCTAATTACCTGATTCCACTGGAAAACTGCTCCGACTGTGTAACTACGTATTGATTATTCCTCTCTTCTCTCATTGACGTCCTTTTTAGTTCACACATACACACACTCCCTCGACAGCTCCAGTCTTTGATCTCAGCGTGTTTCTACTCGCACAGATCGCCTTAGAAATATACCACGTCAGTCCTTGCTATGTTTGATTTGATGTAGCCCCAATGAGATTCCCAGAGAGAGGAAAAAGAAAAAAGGAACGAGAAAAAGAGAGAGAGGAGTGGGATTTCTGATGTGGTGTGATGATAGTATGTGCAGTTGTGGGGATGCAGCTTCATAAAGGGGTCAGAAAGACTGGTGGGGATGTTGTATTTAAGTTATTTTTTTCTCCCTCTATCAGAGTAATGTGCGTGTGTGTTTGACTGTTAATGAGATGGTTTCTAAACGCGCCCGCCAGCTCAGTCTGTGGTCTGAATGCAGATGTTTGCGCTCCACTCCCCGCGGCCAACTTTGAATGAGAATCCGATTGATCAACAAGGCTCATATATTGCCGTGGGGACGGGGGTGAGTGACTATTATTATATCAAATTGGGATGTGACAAAAGTTCAATCTGGAGAGAGAGTTAGAAAATGGTTCTGTAATTTAAATTTACAATGTGAAACTAATATGACACGGACTCATTACAGGCAAAGTGAGATGTCCAAAATAATAATGATAATTAAGGCTCAGAGCTTGAAAAAACTCCTAATAACACATCTGACGATTAGAATATTATAAAATGCACAATAAGCCATGGTCATGTAGACATTCACTTATAATATAAGTAACTAATTAAAAAGTTAGGCAAAAATAGGCATTAGCTTCAGCCTTCAACTTTTCTGTCTTTCTGCGGTAAAGTTACTGTTCTGAAATGTTGTGTATAAATGTGGTAGTGACCAAAGTAAACCTTAATTCATCCATTCATCATCGGAACTATAACAAACACAGGCTCGGCATATGTCACTCTGCATGTTATGAGTCTATCATATATTGAAATGAGTCATTATGAGTCGTTTGCATTATTACTATTACAAACTTGCCTTTCCATATTCAAGGCCAGAGGTGTCCAAACCGGTCCAGAAAGGGCCGCTGTGGCTGCAGGTTTTCTATCAGACCCAGCAGGAGCAGAGCAGACTCCACCTATTTCATCAAATCTTCAGTTTAAGACTGAACTCACTTGAGGAAATGGGCGGAGTCTATGCTGCTCCGGCTGGGTCTGATAGAAAACCTGCAGCCACAGCGGCCCTTTCTGACCAGTTTGGACACCTCTGTTTAAGGATCAACTTTACTGTCCCCTCAGGGAAATTTGTCACAGTGCTGTTGGACACAAACAAGATGCACTCAAGACAATCATCTCGTTTGTACAGTTTCAACACAAGAATGTGCCATGATGTATAACATCATGGCAGATAAAAACAGTATTTACACAATAAGCAACAAAGTATACAATGACTAAAGTGCTAGTGCGGTGCAGATTTGCCCAAACAAAGAGCTTGTGCTGTTGGAGACCCTGCCTGATTACAGAAGTGCAACATGAGCTCCAGATACATGAGAGCTCAGGAGCTTTGCACCTGCCCGAACAAGGAAACTATTCAAGTTATCAGCCTTTTCTCACAATAATATTAATGCATTGGTTTTATACAGTGCTTTTCAGGACACTCAAATACGCTTCACATGTCATTAATCTTTCACTCCATACACAGGGGTGATAAACTGCTACTCTAGCCATGACTGCCCTGGGGCACACTGACAGAAGCGAGGCAACCAGTCTGTGCCATCGGCCCCTCCGACCACCACCAGCCATTCACACTAATTCTAATGTGCGTGAAGTGTCTTGCCTAAGGTCACAACGACAATTTGGCACTTTACAGCCACAGCCCCCCCACTCTGGCACCTGGCTTTTGCATGCAGGTATGGCCACATTATTGAGCATAGTGATATACTGTATACAGAAACAAAAGAACATTTACATCGGTTTTACTATCAAATCTACTAACAAAAATCATCACCTTGTTGAACACAATGACACTGTTTTCTATTTCGTATTAAAAGTAGCCGCCCATTGATACCAAGTCTGTCATCTATACATGAGACTTCCTCACATTGTAAAGCATAAACGTGCCCTTTGGCTTTGAGCTCTTGCTGAAAGAGTGTGCTGCTGTGCTCCAGTGCCCCCCCTATCTGTCGGGGGGAGGAGTGACCTTGAGCTGAACAAAGCTGAGGCCATGTTAGCGCAGCCAGAGGAAGCTCTATTTGTCTTCTCCTGCCATGGCTCCTATCTGTGTCTCATCATGTTAGTGCTCCCCTTCCTCTAACACCACTGACTTTGCACCAAACAGCAGATCAAATAGTGGGCTATGGAGATAGCACCGACTTCTAGCCGTTCGTTTCCACACACAATCAATCATTTTTTGTTCCAACAACATCCACACAACCCTCTTCAAATCACTAATGTCCTGAAAAATAGATTTCCTGCACTTTCTCAGAGATTCTATGCCTCCACTCATGCATTACAATACCTTGTTTAAATGACCCAATATTATTGCTTTGTAAAGCACTTTGAGTTTTCCTGGGATTACATTGTGCTATACAAATAAACTTGACTTGTCTTGCCCTGCATTCACTAGTGCTACTACTAATCTCTCAATCCTTACAGAAATGGGAGGCCGTCAAACATGAGGCGCATGCCAGACAGATTGTACCTATATTTAGTGGTAGTGGAAAGCGGAGCACCCGGTGGAAACCTACGCAGACATGGCGGGAGAACATGCAAACTCCACTCAGAAAGGCCCAATTCTGACCGGGATTTGAACCCAGGACCTGAGAAGCGAGAGTGCTGTCGCCTCTGTAATAAGGCATATCCAGAGCGACTGAGGCCAGCGAAGAACAATATTACTGGTGCTAACAAGAGGAGCAGGCTGGGGGGGGGGTGCCAGAAGAACCACTACATCGAACGGTATGCCGATCCAAATAGTGTAGATAAATAAGCCAAATTGTGTCAGCTGCTCTTTCAAAGCTACTTAATAAGAGTGTAGCGTGTAAAGGCCGATGAGTATTTACATATAGATTGTGTCCCTTGTAAATATTCCGGTAAATTTTTTTGAACAATACATCTCCTTGTGCTGCTGCTGCTGTTGGTCTGGTGCTTTTGGACCTAATCTTCAGTGCCAATTTGACGTAAAGAACCTATGTTGATAATTACAGCCATCTCTCATCTTTTTAAGAGAGAGGGTTTGCACAATTGTACTGAGCGGTTAAACAAACTACCACGCATCGACTTGTTTTGTTGTGCAGGTTGATAGGTTGTTACCAACTTTGTTCCCCTACTTATTTTCAGGAAATAAGCATGAGTTTTGTGGATGAGATTATTATACTAAGTACGAGAAAAACAACCAAAACAGACCGATAATACATGTCGGCTTGTGTGTTGTGCCGGTACATAAAGAAGAAACATTACGCACTGTGTTTGGCCTTTAAAGATGATAATGAGACTATTTGCTGTCACTTCATAGCCTGATTAACACCAGACTGAATAGACTAGAAAATTAAGTCTGGGAACCACTCTTCATAGGAGAAATGCGGTTTACGATTTCTCATAGCTGTTTAGTTGTCGCTGTGAATGTCTATCATGTGTCTGCACCAATCGTATCAATTCTATCCGATAACATATGTAAAGAGTGGCAGATAAACTACGAGAAGAGAAGAATAAGAATCGAAAAAGAGGAATAATGTTTACACAGTGATGCCGAACGATTACTGTGTGCAAGTTAAACATGAGGAACAATAGCTCCTGCTGCCACCTGCTGGATCTGTAAACAAACTACAAGCTTTCATAGTGGGATAATCGGTCTCCGTGTGGCCGTCCCTCCATGTTTTGCTTTAATGTTTTATAATGTGAAATCATATCTTTAGTTGAAAACAGTTAGTGAAACAAGTATGAAGGGTAAAAAATACTTTCCGCCTGTAACTCCCTGTACTACCACCAGAGGGAGGAGTTGACTTTGTTGTGTTTTTTGTGATCGTAAAGAACGTCATTTCTCCTGATAAATTGCTAAAACTATGTCATGGACAATACTTTTGTTTTAAAATACACAAAACTGCTCTGAATGTGATGTCAAAGGCGGTACAATGACCTCATACTGTTACGTGACTGAGACAGGAGCTTTTAGACAGAAGGGGCGGAGCTACTACAAATCTGTGTCCTGATATTAACGTGGACGGATCTAAAAAAAACAACTAGACGTCTGTTTTTGATGAGGGAGCAATTCAACATGGTTAGAAGCTCATACTACGTCTCCTTTAATAAGTACTTTCTCACCTCTGCGTCTGGGCGGGCGAGCAGCAGGGAGATATTGGTGCTGTCCTCTCTGGTGAGGATGGCCACGGCTTCTTCACGGTCCTGGATGTCCACTCCGTTTATCTGAAAGAGGAAGAAAACTGAGCCAAAGACTGAGAACAAAGGACCTTAATGCCCTTTGCACTGAGGGCAGCTTCAATCAGCCGACTTAATTCATGAAAGGGTTGCTGTTTTAAAATGTAATCCTGCAGATAATAATGTCCAACAGCTCGAAATGTCAGACTTTAATAGAGGCGGAAGATTTTTTAATGAAAGGAGCAAGTTGGATTAGCAGACAATTTGAACTGTTTTAAAGTAAAGGTGACACAGGCTCAGCGCATTACTCATTTAGACACAATGAAAGTTAGATGTTGAAAAGCTCGGCTACGTTTAAAGTTTAGAGTAGGAAATAGAATGCTTACATTTTGAATTGAAGGAAAAAAAGGCTCTACTCAAATATTTGTATGTACGCCTGTCTTAAAGAATAAATATGATGCATTATGTTTGTCCATTAAAGAACCGTACTGCAAAGCGCGTTATCAAATTATGTCTTTATTTTCTTATATAAGGTGCACCCAATTATAAGGCGCACTGTTAAAATTTAAGGCTTGTGTGTGCCTAATAGTGCAAAAAATACAGGAATGAATATGAGACTTTTTACTTTGGCCATTTCATGTTTTAGAATGTGGCATAAAGCATATAGTAGAAAATATTTGGCGAATCAAGAATGAAGGGAAAGTAATGCTATTGGCCTGCCCTGTCCATAAGCTACCACCAGAGGGAGGTGGAGAACTCTTTTAGTTTTTTCCAAATTAGCGTGGATGGATCTAAAAACAACTCAAGGGTCTGTGACTGATGAACAATGTTGGAACAAAGTGAAACCATAGATTGTATGTCAGGAGTGGACTGAGTGCTGACGTCTACATGATGTTACTGCTAACTAGCTATTAGCTACTATTTGAGCTTATTTTGTGGGTAGCAACGGCCCAGTTACCAAGCACCAATCAGAAGCTGGGCTTGTCTGTCTGGCTCCTGATAGGTCGGTTGTAATGGATCATATTTGGATAAACAAAGAAGATATCACGATATAAACCCCAGGATTGCAGAAAGCGTTACACCATTGTTTAAGCCCAAAATGGTGAATGTGATGCTCGATGTCAATTGGAGCCAGAGCAAGTTGGATCAAAACTTCCTTCATGAGCACTTTCTTGTTGGGCTTTATTGAACTAGGGGGTTTGAATCGTCCATCGATATACAGCCTCTGAACACACAATTGGTGTCACACAATATGTCGTTCATTTCTGCTGTTAAATTTAATACAAGTACCTGCAGTATTCGATCTCCTTTGCGAATACGTCCGTCCATTGCTGCAATACTGTTGGGGTTCACCTTAAAGAAGAAGGTTTTTATTGTCAACACATGTCCAGAGTAGAGTTCTGTAATGCTTCTGTCTTCACCTCTCCCACATAAATGCCCAGGTCCTCCTCTTCATCTGTTCGATAACACACAATCAGGCCCAGTTTGTCTTGCTGTCGAGACTTATACAACTCCACTTCCTGAAGAAGGAATTCAAGAAAAATGATAGAGGAAGTGTGGTCAGCGTGAAAAAGATGACAAACTATACTATAATAAAGTATATTTATAGTATGACCTCATACTCCAGATCGTCCGGCCGGTCCACTTCATGCTGAGTGATGTCGAGGTAGTCTGCGGGGTCATAGTACTCAGGCTCAAACCTAAACAACATGATACACAAGTATATTAATGCACAAACATGGATTGTATGTTTCACGCTTATTTGAGGGATTGGTTAACCAATAATAATAATTAATTAATTAATTATGATATTTTGTGCAATTTATTATAATAATCTTTTGTCAAACTTGAAATAGAATATATTATTAGCAACAATAAATCGTCTTGCAGTAAATCCACTAAATATAAGCCTTTTATGTGGTTCTATATGTTTGCATCTGTCTGAACATGTTGCGTAGTGTGCTCCACTCACAGGTCGTTGAGCAGGTAGGGGTCCAGCAGAGGGGGGAGGGGCGGAGATGGAGGGGGGTGTGGAGGGGGCGGGGCGCCACAGGGGTGCTGGCTCCGCCCCACACTCATCATGTGCTGGAAGCTGATGTCTGTCTGAGTGCAGCTGTCCACACAGTCGGCCATGCCCATGGTCACAGGGCCCAGGACCCTGGGGGCGGGCGCCAGACCAGCCCGTCTGCGAGGACCTCTCCTCAGGATGTGAGCCAGAGCCGGGTCTCTCAGCTCCAGGGTGGGGTCCCTGGACAGACGGGACAGCTCCTTTCCACGCACCTGTCAAGTAATTACAGATTAGACTGTGGAAGGGAACTGTGGAACTCCTGTGTAAACAGTACTCTATGTAATTGCCTGGAGGTCTCCATGAAAAGAACAAAAAAAACGTACTTTTTTATTCTCTGAGGAGATGAATGACTGAAATAAGAAACGATATCTAGACCGGTATAAGAACTCATTCGTACCCATATCTGTGAACCTCCTGAAAGCAGGCCATCGAGCAGAGCGATGATGGTTTATGTTTATTACTGTGTTGTGTTTTATGTCTGTCTTATGTGCCTGTGAGTCCAAGACAAATTTCCTACGGGATAAAATAAATTAATCTTGAATCTTGAATCTAGTAAGTTATCGCAGATGGAAGGAGCAGGCGATTCAGCTTTATGGCAGTACACCCACTCCCAGTTATTGTGTTTTCACACATTCTTCTCCTTTTGGGCTTAAGTTACAGACTGGATCTTGAACTGTCCACATTCAGCTCATATACTGCATATTCTCGTGGTGTAGCAGGTAATGCTTTCATATTATCTTGACAACCTCTTGATACAACTCAAATATTGATCAAGTCTCACTCCCTGGAGTCCTTATACCTCTTATCTTCACACACAATGTGAGATTTCTTTCTCCACATAATCTCCTCTTTACTCTGTCTGCAGAATACTCATGAACAGATTTATCTCTATGAAATCTTCATTTTCAATTTTCTACCAGAACATTTCCACAACAAAGTCTGTAGTGGCGATAAGCCACATATGGAAAGCTGAGTGAAGGTTCATTGTTTAAGAAGTGTATCCCACAAGAGCAGAGTGTGAACATGAGTGTGAAGTAAAGAACACAGAAGCAGACACCCACCCACACACACACACACACACCCACCCACGCACACACCCACACCCCCACGCACACGCACACGCACACACACACACACGCACACGCACACACACATGTATGGATCTGCCTGGACTCACAAGGACCAGGCAGCAGAGCGGAAAGTGTTAAACCAACAAGTAAAGACACAAAATCCTTTAATCTGACATCCATTCCAAGAGTTACATATTTTAGCGAGTGAAATGTCATTGTTGTTTTTCCTCAATTTTAGAAAGAATTATTCATACAAAATGATGAATAATGGACAGGCTCTAATTACATCATGCGTCGACAATACCAAAGTGGCTCATGGATATTATTATTTATTTCAGTCAAATTAGGCCAAACAGCACTAAAAAATAGATTTAAGCTTCAACTACATCTGTATTCTTTAAATGGGGGCCATCAATCCATTTTCTACCCTTTAATCCCATTTCTGGGTCAGGGGGGTGGCAGTCAGAGATGCCACCCAAGTCTCATAGCACCAGCCCCTCACTGACCCTCTGCAGGTGGTGAGTCCACAGGAGGACGGCTGCTCTCTGAGTGTGAGCATAGCCTTGATCTTTCAGTGGGGGCTTTTGGGCAAAGTGGGGTTAAGTGTCTTGCCCAAGGACACAACGACAGCAGTCATCAGTGGGAGTCGGTGGAGAAGGTGTAGAGGTGGGAATTGAACCCACGACCTTCAGGCCTGAAGGCCAATGCTCTACCAACTGAGCTACTGTCGCCCCCTTAAATGGGGGGCTCTCTTTTTAAATCCCTGCTTCAGACGCACTTTGGCGGGAGCAAGAGACAAGTTTTCCTTATCATTTATATTGTTGCTGTTCTTCACTTGTCTGTCCAACACTTTAGTAAGTCTGGGCTGTTTTAAAATGTGTTTTACAAATACATATTGATTGATTAGGTGTTTTTAAACTAGATACCAGTTCTTTTCCCAGATGGCTCAGCCCGAGGTGGCAGGTTTTATAGCTACAGTACATTGAAAGTCGTATGTTGCACAGTTTAGAGTAAAATCCATACAATGCTGTGTAATATACCCTTCTTATTTGGTGACAATTTAAGTTACCTTTTCTATGATATTATCCATTCTAATCCGCAAAAGTGCTGTGTGAGGGGGGGGTCGGGGTTACTGCAGTGCTTCTCAAATCGTTTTTTGGAGAAATGATAAGCATAATCCATACCATGTCTGCAGGGGGAAACGCATGGGGTGAATAAAGGTTATCTTATCTGTTTACTATGTTTCAACCTTGTTCTATCACTATAATCAGAACTGGCTTTTAGCTCAATCCTTACCAATATCATGAACTTCCAACAGAAACCCCTTCGGTCTAAATGCTCTACTTTCAAACCATGACAAAGGATGCTGTTCTGACTTTTACAACTACTTCGTACTGGAGTAGAAGAAGAAGCTGATGTCATAACAGCAGATCATGTGCTCTTTGGAAACGTTTGGGAAGGGATAATATTAGAACGAGATGTACGAGGCATGAACATTATTTAGTTATAAACTACAAGTTGAGAGTATTGAACCGGGACGAGGGGGCTGTTTTACTCTCACATACTGTACCTGGGATTCTGTGCTATAGTACTCTGACTGTAGATGGTGCTCTCATCAAGACCGTGCCAAAAACGGTGTAAAATAGTTGATGACAAGACGCGTGATCACTGAACGCCATCTGTCCAAACTGTCAAGCACAAAAAAAAACCACCACTAAAAATAGAATCAACTTGTAGAATCAGACGACGAAATTATTGTAGCACATGAAAAAGAGTAGTACTGGAGTGTAATAAGCAATTCCCACGTCCCTCCCTCCCCCCTGTGTTGTAAGTAAGTAAGTAATGTTTATTTGTAAGGCGATATACAGACCAAGGTCACCCAAAGCGCTTTACAATGTTCAGTGTGCTGCTGTTCTGCCCAGGCCCCGCCCCCTGCGTGGTGCATCAGTTCCACACCCCTGCTCCGGGATTGGGTCGCTGTCTTCCCGTTTCGGCAAATCCGACCCTGATGTTACTACTCTCTGACCCCATTTACAAGCTTCGCGGAGCTTTTCGGGGAGTACATTTTTCACAAATGTCACAAACTTAAGATAAATAAATGTAACGTATTTGATTTCCGTGGTGATGTGAATTAAATACAAACTAAATAACAACAAGAACGTTTTTTTTTATTTTTTATATATAGCAGATTTTGCAGACCAAGGTCACCAAAGCGCTTTACAATTGTTGAGAGTTCCAATATTTTTCCATTCCCTATGACGGAAGCAAGACCCCCCCCCACCCCCCATTACATTTATACCTATTGTACATGTTTTTTTAGTGTTTTTCTTTTGAGCAACGCAGCTTGAACTATCAGTGTCTCGCCTGCCACCGAAACAGAACGTGTTTCTGTGTCCTCAAGTTTGACGTGATTCAGATTGTCCTTGACGCTGCATGATTTTAATTTGATGTGTAAGACTCCCTTTGTTATGTCTATCGTGTATGGTTTTTATCCCTTTTGCCTCTTTTTGTAATTAACCACTTTGCATCTTTAGTTGCATTCTTTTTTTCCTCTAACAAGCGCAACAAGGCTTATGTCGAGTGTTGATGTGTTTTGCTCTTATTCCATTGCACACGTTTATCCATATATTTTTCTCTTTGAAAGTGTAAAAGAAAACCTATGTGAAATGGCTCTGAATGGCCTTGCGTCTCGTGGCCCTCTCACAGATGCAGACAGCAGTGCATCAGCTCATGCAAGGCCCTGACCCCGGCTGTGTCCACATCTTTAATGCTCTCTCATTCTGCTCTCACACTCCTCCAGTAATTGCGTGTCAAATCAATGTTCCTCTGTTCAGTCAAGCACAAAAACCCACCAGCCACGGCTCACTTTCTCTGCGCCTTTGAGAATGTCCCTTTTCCTCTCAGTATTCACTGTTAGGAGAACGCTGCAAGATTAAATCAAAGATCAAATTAAAATGGCAGTTTGACAGGTTGTAATTACTCAGCTGTACAAGCCATGCATGTTAAAAGCAACACAATTAACAGTTGTTAATTATGCTAATACTTACAGTGCCTTGCGAAAGTATTCGCATTTTGCCACATTTCAGGCTTCAAACATTTCAGGCTTCAAACATAAATATATAACATTTTAATTTTTTGTCATGAATCAACAACAAGTGGGATACAATCGTGAAGTGGAACAAAATGTATTGGATAATTTAAACTTTTTTAACAAATAAAAAACTGAAAAGTGGGGCGTGCAATATTATTTGGCCCCTTTCAGTGCAGCAAACTCACTCCAGAAGTTCAGTGAGGATCTTTGAATGATCCAATGTTGTCCTAAATGACTGATGATGATAAATAGAATGCACCTGTGTGTAATCAAGTCTCCGTATAAATGCACCTGCTCTTTGATAGTCTCAGGGTTCTGTTTAAAGCGCAGAGAGAACCATGAAGACAAAGGAACACACCAGGCAGGTCTGAGATACTGTTGTGGAGAAGTTTAAAGCCGGATTTGGATACAAAAAGATTTCCCAAGCTTTAAACATCTCAAGGAGCACTGTGCAAGCAATTATATTGAAATGGAAGGAGTATCAGACCACTGCAAATCTACCAAGACCCGGCCATCCCTCCAAACTTTCATCTCAAACAAGGAGAAGACTGATCAGAGATGCAGCCAAGAGGCCCATGATCACTCTGGATGAACTGCAGATAACTACAGCTGAGGTGGGAGAGTCTGTCCATAGTACAACAATCAGTCGTGCATTGCACAAATCTGGCCTTTATGGAAGAGTGGCAAGAAGAAAGCCATTTCTCAAAGATATCCATAAAAAGTCTCGTTTAAAGTTTGCCACAAGCCACCTGGGAGACACACCAAACATGTGGAAGAAGGTGCTCTGGTCAGATGAAACCAAAATCGAACTTTTTGGCCACAATGCAAAACGATATGTTTGGCGTAAAAGCAACACAGCTCATCACCCTGAACACACCATCCCCACTGTCAAACATGGTGGTGGCAGCATCATGCTTTGGAGCAGCTTTTCTTCAGCAGGGACAGGGAAGATGGCTAAAATTGATGGGAAGATGGATGGAGCCAAATACAGGACCATTCTGGAAGAAAACCTGTTGGAGTCTGCAAAAGATCTGAGACTGGGACGGAGATT